GGGCACGCACAGTGTGTGTCCTTGGCAGAAGACACGGAACTGCTTCAGCGGGGCATCCCTGAAGATGTACATGATTTTGCTACTCCTCAAAGCTGGGCACATCCTAGCAGCCTGGACTTCTGTCTGTAGCTTGGGTAGACTTTCCCAGAGCAGCTTCACTGACTTTATTCTTTGTAATTTTCTAATATTTTGTGCAAGTTTATAATTCCACGATTACATCCTACCTGTGTAAAATGGCAAAGACCTCTGCATTTGGGGCAAATTTCAATAGCTATAGGCTGAATTGGTCCCTTCCATTCATTCACTGAAGGCCTAATCACCACTGCCCCAGAATGCAAGTTCATTTAAAGAGGAGGTCTTCCTCTCTCATCTGGAATCTCCTTATGGTCATTTCTCTGTATGCACACTTCCTAGGACAATGGTACCACTTCCTTTCCTTATACACTACCTAGTGTTATGAATCAGTACCTCCACTGTGGCTTATTTAACTTATTAAACATCAGATACCAGAACTCTAAGTGCTATCACTTTTGGGAAACTCAATTTTGTTCATAATAGTATTTAAACAGTTTTGTATGAAGTAATGCAAGTCACTGCTAGAGCATTGTCCACTTATTGTTCTTAATTGCATTGCACTCATAAAAGTTTTCCATCATATACAATTTTATTTTGATGATTAGTAATTCCATTCTTACTCTTGACTCTTATGGGTATTGGCTGTAAAATATTACTGCAATAATGAAAAAAGATAAGATCATCACCAACTCACAAAAGTATTAAATTATTTGCTATTATTAAAATGTATACATTAAAATTATACATTAACTTTTAAAATGTGTTCAAATTATAATTTCTGCAGAACTATATAGATGATTAAATGATAATTACTTCAAGATATGTTTTATTTAATTATTGTTACTTATTCACTTTACATCCCACTCACTGCCACCCCCACAGTCACCTGCTCCCACAATCCTTCTCCCATTCCCCCCCCTCTGACTGGGTGGACATTTGTTTTAACAATATGTGGAGGTATGTGAAGATATGTTTTTACAATGTGTAATCTAACAATTCATTTTCAAATGAATTTAATTCTGTGAAACAATTTAATTAGAAATGACTTATTTAATTTGAGTGCTAAAGTGACAAAGAATATATAAAATGTCATTATACATAGAGAATTTGTATGGAAACTTACTTTATTTCATGCCCAGAAAGTAGGTGCTTATAGGTATAGTTCCTGTGAGAAACAAAACATTAAAATGGACTCTTTTCTTGGCAAAAAAAAAAAAAAAATAGGGCAGCCCCTAACTCAGTTTGACTGGCCTCACAACAAGAGGCAACTTGGATACCCAGAGTCCCTGGGATTCACACACACAGAAGAAAGAGCATGAGGAGACACATGGAAGCCATTAACTGCATGGCAGACGCAGACTGTAGAAGAATCCATCCGTGCCAATACCTTGGCCTTATAGTTTTCACCTTCCGATGCATAAGAAAATTGCAGGCCTGGTGGTGATGGCGCATGCCTCTAATCCCAGCAAGGAGGCAGAAGCAGGCAGATCTTTGAGTTTGAGGCCAGCCTGGTGTATGGAATGAGTACCAGGAGAGCCAGGGCTACACAGAGAAACCATGTCTTGAAAGAAAAAAAAAAGGAAGGGAGGGAGGGAGGGAGGGAGGGAGGGAGGGAGGGAGGGAGGGAGGAAGGAAGGAAGGAAGGAAGGAAGGAAGGAAGGAAGGAAGGAAGGAAGGAAGGAAGTTGAAGTGGCAATTTTCTCTAAACACTCACTGTCTTGCTAGAACTGCACATCCTCTAATGGTCCTCCGACTCAGGCCATGAGGCAGCAGTTCTTGAAGGTTCCACCTATTTTCAAGTCACTTGAAAAGGTCACATAAAACCATTCTTATCCAGAACTTGTAGGTCTACAGCACAGTATGAATCTCCATCCTCAAAGGTGTGGGAAGGGCACTGTGAATGAAGCACTTGCTATACAACTGTGAGAACCAGATATGGAAATCCCAGGGCCCATGTAAAAAGCTGTATGGACGTGGTGGCCTGCCTGTAATCCCTACCTTCAGAGGTAGAGATGGGATCCCTGAGGTCAGTTATAAAGTAGATTACCTGAGCAGCTAGCTTCAGCTTCAGCAAGAAAGCCTAAGCAAATAAGATAGAGGTCAAAGGTGATATGTGAGGTCAACCTCTGGCCTCCACACACATGTGTACACATGCATGTGTACCCACACATGTATATCAGCATACGTGCAAGTACATATGTACAACATGCACACATACACTCACACATGCACTCACAAGTACTCGAACACACATGTGGGTGCACACACATACATGCAAAATCTCCATTATGGCCTAGATGAGGCTGGACTCTTTAATATACTCCAGGGAAAAGGGCACATGGCCCACTTTGTTCTGATAACTATAAGGACTGTTGTGTGAATACCAATTCCCTGCCAATCTGGCCAGCAGTTCCTCTCTGGGGCCCCTCTGCCAGGCATGTTGCTTACAGAGTGCAGCCACTCAGGCAGGGACTTGGCAACTTTATCCAATTCTGTAGTCAAGTTTCAGAGAGACATAACATTAAAAAAAAAAAAATGTGTGTGGTTACAGCTTGAAAAAGGAATCGAGACAAGAGCTGTTATGCAGACTGATGGAGAAAGAACTCTTGGAGTCCCTCCCTGAAAAGCAGGATAGGCGTGACAGTGGACCAGTGATTCTGTCACAGGAAGTGGTTTGGCATTCCAACCTAGAGCAATTATGTGAAGGTCTTCAACACGGGCTCTGAGCTTGCTCAATCCCAAGTGTGGACTGATAACACATGTGGGTATGTATTAAACAGATTCTGTGGTACACCAGCTTCTGTGGCATCTGGTCATAGCTTGTAGTTCTTGCCTGCATCTGCAGGATGATGCCCATGCGACAAGAATTGTCCTAACTTCCTGGTTGAGGAAACTGTCTTCTACGAGCTAGTTTTCACAAAGGACAGTTAGTGCTAACGTCACTGAGTGGATTCCAACCCAGGTCTTACTCAAAACCACACATTTAACCTTTAAAACCACACATTTAACTATTTTGTCATATTGCCTCTGAAACTTTCAAGCACTCACTGAATTCAACATCCCACAGTGGCTGAATCTGTCAACACTATTGAATTAGTAGAAATATCACTGGTGTGTGTGTGTGTGTTTTGTGTGTGTTTGTGTGTGTGTTTTACAGAACCACTGTATCCCAAAAGCACCTTTAGAGCCTAAGTACACCTTAATATACTATTTGCTCCATTGTGTGGCACTAACAAAAAGTGACAGGGACCTTTTAATATCCAAGAAAGCCGGAATATAAACAGGAATATAATTTATGTGAAAAAAAACCAGAACAAAACAAAACTCTGGGAAGCAGGTTTGCTTTTATTCTTAGCTATTTAAAAGATTTTCTTAACTGTTGTTTTTACCCTGAAGTGAAGTTGTGTTACATAGTTATTTATGTGGCACATTGCAAGATTGTCATTGGATTCTGATGTGATTAGATAAGGCACAGAAATGGCAGCTCACCCAAGGTGGGGGGGAATACTGTTTTTAAGCAGGGATGACCAATTTGTGTTACGCAAAGCTGTAATATGCTTTTATACTAATGAAAGCAGGCAGACTATCTTTATTCCGCCACTCAAAAAAAAAATGGTATTGATTTGGGTTTTCATTAAAAATTTGTTTAGTTTCTCTTCCTATGACCTATTCTCATGCCCGGCAATTACGCACAACCAGACTCTCCGTGCTGACATCAACTGAATGGCTTCCATGAGCAGTCTCATTTCAAATTGATGCCTCACGTCAAGTATGTGTGTGAGTTCACACTGCTGTATGACTAATGCAGGCCATTTACAAGCTATCTATCATCTTCCCTTAGATTACAGACTCCCTCAGCCCCACTTCTAAATATATTTTTGTAAAAGGGCATATGAGTCACAAAAGCTCACTTTCAGAACTGGGGTTTGCACAGAAGATAAGTGTGAGAAGATACCGTAATTTCTCTTGCTATTTAATGTTCTACATCCAGTGCCAGGCAAACTCAGAGTCACGGTAAGTAGAAAGCACAGCACAGTAAGTGAACGACAGGGACACATTTACTGCTACTTGGGGTTGGAGGGAACAAACTTTAATACTCCGTTTTCTTTAGGTATAGTTGTTATGGTGATCCCAGGAGATCTTGTTAATGAACCAGAGACAGCACAGATCTAGTCGGCATGTGGATGTTGTAGTAAGATTTAAACAAACTCAGTTTTAAACATTTCCTTGCTTTCACTGTATATATACAGACATACAAGACAGACAGGACAGATAGACAGACACACAGACACACACACACACACACACACACACACACACACACACACACAGAGAGAGAGAGAGAGAGAGAGAGAGAGAGAGAGAGAGAGAGAGAATGATTGATGAAGAAATTTTGTTGTTTTGCCTTTTAAAACCCAAACACTCCACACTCCAAAGGATTACAGTTTGACATATTCCTGCCTTGTCTTCATATGAATATATTCATTTAATTTCCTGTTCTCTGGCTGCAAAACAAGAACGAAAACCCCAGGGTTAACTGCCACCCCCAAAGTCTGTCCCATACTGCCGTCACTATACATAAATGGACCAAACCCCTGTGGCCTTGTCCTCTGTGGTATTGATCAGATTACCCAGTTCCTTTCCCCTACATCCTTAAAAGCTCCTACTTTTCATTTATTAGATAGCCTCAATTTTTTTAAAAATTGTCTTGTTTTGCCCAGTTGAATAACAGCAAGAATAAAAGTTCCTTGGGGCTGCGGTGAGCTAATCCAGTGCATGCTATCATCTGGCCTCACAGAATATTACTAAATAAAAACACTAAGGGAAAAAAAGGCAATTCATGTATTTCTGTTGGTTTCATGTTGACCTCATTTAACAGCCTCTGATTCTCCTAAAACAGACTGGTCATAAAGAAGGACAAAGCCACACTTAACACTTAGACATTTTATTTAGTTAAATCAGCCATTGTACAACATTGCAGCTATGTATTGTTAGTGTTGTATTGTTTTCCAATAACTAATACATGCCCTCATAGATATATTCAATTAGTGTTATCACCATGGGAACAAGATGCTGATTCATCAACTGAAAATTCACTTCTTCTCACAGTATTCAAGTTTTTGATAACACAGCAAAAAAGAAAAAAAATCGAAGAAAAAAAGTGAAGAACCATTACGTTGCCACACAGACGTCATCTGCACTGCAAATAACACAACAGAAAGGCTTTTCATGAGCTCCGGGGCAGACGGTCTTACAAGATGGCCACCATGTATCTCAAAAAGGGCTGCCACCGCCTCTCTCTCTCTCAGTTTGGATGCCAAAGAATACTTTGTTTCTATTCAATCCCAGAAAGTGCTAGTACTGGGGACTTAGGAGATTTTGCCTGATGGGAAACCTCTCTCCCAGGAAACTCTTCTCTTGGCAATGTTACTTAAAAAGATGAAGTGCTATTATTTGTCGTGTTTGTGTCTGACATTCCCAGCAATGAGTCAGTTCTGCACACAGGAAAAGGCCAGATAGGACTGGAAAAATTGCAATCTCTGGAGGGTAGACCGTTTTCTTTCTTTCTTTTGTTCTTTCTTTCTTTCTTTCTTTTTAATTTCATCTTCATTGAATATACTTTCTTTAACAAATAACTGATTCAAAACTTATACTGTTTATATGAATATATTTGTGAATATATTTATATATATATGTTAAAATGCTACACAGCTTCAATCACTAGAGGGATTAGACATAGGGTACAGGGGTCACTCAGACTGTCATTGTTCCTTCTCTGAAACAAACAGAAAGTCACACAAATGCACTTCAGTTTCCAAGGGTGTCTGGGTTTTAAATAAATAAACAACAAAAAAAGTTAATCAGAACCAAATTTTCCAAGGATTTCTCAATCTTGTCTGCAAGCTGACGAGCAGACGTGGCTAGAAAGTAGAAACTCAGAGTGAAAACCATTAGTGTGATAGGAAGGGCTGTGTGTGTGTGTGTGTGTGTGTGTGTGTGTGTGTGTAATGCTACATGTAGGTATTAGAGGAAAGATCAACTTGGAAGTGGGGAATAAAAAGAAAAGAAAAGAAAAGAAAAGAAAAGAAAAGAAAAGAAAAGAAAAGAAAAGAAAAGAAAAGAAACCACTCCAACATGGTGACAGCATTTAACCTTTTGTGTGGTGCATAAATCTTGCTTCCAATGAATTATCTACAGTGCAGTGGCCAGAAGAAAGTACCACCAGTAAGACAGCATGGTTTGCTAAAGCAGCAATGAACACTGGAAAACTACAGTAGTTATAGCTTTTAAAATACCCTGCCAACGTGTCCAAAGTCAAAAACACCTGAAGGTGCTAGAACACCACCCCTGAAACTTCTAGCACCAGAATACCTCGCTGTTTCCTTTTGCTTGTCTGTGAGCCCTTCTCCCCCACCCTCAGGGTCGCAGTTCAAGAGCCAGCAGCTATGGCTGACCAATACTAGAGACCGCTCCTTGGGATCCTTCTTCAAGATTATGATCCCAAAGGCTTAAGGAGCAATGGCTACTCTGGAAGTTCTAAGGACGTGTCTAGGTCTGCAGTGTTCCTTCCGTAGAACTGTATCACCATTCGATTGTGTTAGCAATATCATAATTAACCATTGTTCAGCAATATCTAGAGGCTTTTATTCCATGATGCCCAGTGTAATTATGACAGGCAGTGGTTTGAATTTTACTCTTGTTGTTCATCTGAGAATTTCGGCTATATACATTATACGTAGATGTCCTCGGAAGGATTCCCCTGTCACTTGAAGAAGTCTGCAGGTGAAGTTCTTCTGATTAATGGATTTTCATGGAGCTTGAGCAGAAGCAAACAATGGAGGTGCCAGTTCCCAGGTTAGCACGGATGCTCAAAATAGTGGATACAGCATCCGGAATGAAGGATGCTATCTTTGGTCACAAATTAGCTTATAGTTAGAGAGGGGCGGGGAGAAAGAAGCAAAAGGAGATGCTGTGTGTTTGCTGAGAGTGGAAATGTCACGGGATCCTAGTAACTAGGACGCTTCAGTCACTCCTGCGTGGAAATGGGAAGTTGTATATTAAGTGGGTTTGTGATTTCTGGTGAGAACTGGGCAGCTCCTCATTTGGCCTCTTGTTTTGTGTTCTCCTTGCAGAAATGCCGAAGGAGTTGCTGGAGATCTCGCTGGAGGTCGTCTTGGTCCAGTGCTCCGGGAACATCCTCCAGGTGCTCCAAGTTGATGTGTTTCCCTTGCTGGTCCTTCACCACAGCCCTCCTCTGTGTCCTGGCCTTATTCATTGTTGTCCTACAGGAAGCAGACAAGATTATTAGGCTCTGTAGTCCCTGAACACTCATGGACTTCCTGTCTTACCTCTTCATCTCTTCCTATTAGCCTATGGACCATAGGTAGACAGGTATGTTTCTCACATTTCTCATAAATGAGCCTCTCCTATCAGAAAGGACACGCAAAACCTTAAAAATTGTATTTTGGAACCAATACGGATTATTTTTTCATCTTTTAGAAATACTTCTTATGAAAGACTCTCTACCTTCATTTTATCTTCTTGGAGAGAAGCCAGGGCATGACTCATATTTTGGTTGAGCTGCATGGATCTGAAAGATCCTTGTCTACTCTGAAATAATGGTCCCACAGGCACCACTGACACGCTCAGAAAAACCATTTAAAATCTATTCATTTCCCAGTCCTGAACTTTGCCCAAATTTTGTATTACTAGAACTTTCCTGAGAGATCCAGATCTTTAAAAACTGGAATATTTGATCAGTACACAAGAAATGGACTACCAACAAGAAGCCTCTGAAGTTTCCCAGGGAGTTGGCAAGTGAGTGAAAGAAAATGGATATGACTTGTGAAAGCTGATACTTCCTGTGTATCCTCAGGACCTCCGTGTGCTTAACCCTTTCTGAGCATCTCTGCATGCCAGTCAGCAGGTTGCTTCCTTCCCTGTCTCCGCCCAAGGAGCTTGAGAAAAGAATCTGTAACTTATTGTTTTATTTCATACAGTTATTTTCTTAGATTCCCCACTTGAAAATAATAATACAATTTATTCTTTCTGTGTTCTTCTTGCTTTCTACCTGTGAGAATAATGTTTCAATTTCAATTATTTATTGAATATATTTTACGTATTATCATAGTTATAACAAATAAGAAAAACTGACTTTAGAGGGTCAGTTTTAAGGACATCCCACAATTTTTTTTAAAGGGTAAGATAAGAGACTGAGATTCCCGAGCCTTGCTTCCCTCTCCCATCCCCCAAATCTCTCACTCTAGTAGAGATTGCTTAAATTGGTTTTTTTCATTTGATGGCATATCTACATTTGTTCTTCTTGATGGAATGTTCAAACGTGGTGGCTGTGGATGCAATCAGTTTGTGTATTTCTGGTGTTCCCCACCATTGCAGCTTCTTTTACTCCACAAAAGGCAAATAATACGTGCCTCTTTCTGTAGAGGTTAGGAGAAGCTTCATAGTTCTAGTGTCATGGGGCAGGCCTATAGCATAGGACAGACTCTCTCTCTCTCTCTCTCTCTCTCTCTCTCTCTCTCTCCTTTTAGTTTTCCACAGATGTATACAGATGTCTATACATATGCATGCATATGATAAATGTATAAACTGAAATGCGATGCACCATAGAGTTCCACACTGTCTAGCAGGGTGAATGCGAGGTGTCTGTCTCTATCTTTGGCTTTGTGTCCACTACAGTGACTCAACTGCTCCCCGCATCTATTCTAGTTCACAGATCCTGGAGCACCAGGGTTTGCAAGGACTGTAGAGTTTAATCTGAACAACTGGACAAAAGAGTTAAATGTTCAGAAACAGCAGGAACATTTCATCCTCAATTCATATGGCATTTAAAAGTTCTAGGAGAGCAATTACGTTCTTCCAAATTCATAGCTGCTACTGTTTCTCCCTTTTGAGCAGAGGGTGAGAGTACGACAGAACCTTTAATTTTGCTCTTCTAATTATTATGTTCCCGAAACCTAAAATAGCCCCATGGAGTACTATAGATGATTATCTTTCTGCTCTTTTCAATGAGATGAGAAGCACAGTAATAACTTGGGTTCCCATTTTATCTGTCACTGGAAAGCTGAGAGGTCTGTGTGTGTCCTGATGCTTACAATAGTGTCAGAAGACCAAAGAAGTGAGTGCGAACCGAAGAGCAAAGCCCCGTTCAGGCATCGAATTTGTGATGGAGCAGGTAGGTCACTGTGCTTCACAGCAAGCACCCTTTGACATACATGGGAAAGACTGCTCACTACGTGCATAAGCTCTTACCAAAACTGCTTTCAGCAGCACTCTGTACGTTCAGGATCTCAGGCATCAGACTTATGCTCTTATTTCTTGCCACTCACATGCAGAGTCATGAAAATAGTTAACAGTGAAAAGCATGTGCTATCCAAAGCCACAGTAGATGAGAACTGAGCTGGGTATGGTTAGTTGCCAAGCTAATCAGTATGCCATTGATTAGATTTCCCTTCATGTAATCTCCAAATCTATGAACTTGGTGGTATACCCCACCTACTTGACTATATGGACAATTTGCTTGAACCCAGAAAGTCAAATTGTATAACAAAATGGCTTGCCACTGCCATGTTTCAGTAGTAATTTGAAGGCATCAGTGGACATTGTAGGGGCAACACACTGACACACAGAAACCTGATCTGTGCCTTCTCACACATGACAGTCAGCAGCTCAGAAGGGCTGTGCCCTTTTCTAACACTAGAAACCAGTTGTATCATGTTAGTTGGCAAAGCATCACTCCATGCTAACCCAAACCTCTTAATTATAGATCCATCCTCCTTCAGGATTTCATTCTCTACTAAACTGGGCAAGTGGACTTTCATGTGGCTACCTGTGTAACCCAAAGCCTGAGGTAAGAAAGAGAGAAAACAAGACTTGACTCATAGACCACAAACTTTAAAACAGCCTACTGTGTGACTAACTGCGGTGACACAGAAAGAGGTATCTGACAGGACAAATGACAACTCCTTCAGGCTCCTATGGATATTGAGTTTTATTTAACAATTCCCTTAAAATTCCACTGGTGTACAGATGGTTTTATACTACTTGTCAAAAGCTTGTAACTAACATCTATGCCACCTGACTTTAAATGACTTCCTTGTTTAATCACACCCCTTCTGATTGTGGAGATCTGAATGATAAAGGACTTGTTTAGAGACAAAACCAAAAACATTCTCCAGTGTACAGCCAGATAATTCACCTTTTGAATATCCAAGAAGTCAGATGTGCAGAACTGAAAGTGTTTAAAGAAAGCTGACTTTCAATATGCAAATACACTATGCTACTTCAATATAGCTATCAATACTATTATTCTTGTTATATTGTTGATCAAACACAGTGCTTTGTGAGGGTCACATAGGTACCCTAAAATACAAGTGTATCCCCAGGCCACTGTGAGTAAGCAGAGGGCACAGAATATAGCATTTAATTTAAAAGTGTTATTCTTTAAAAAAAAATTGTAGATATTTGTGTATGTCTGTCTGTCATCCCTTCTTCAACCCTTAAACCTTTAGATGTGTTTTGGGATTGAGATAGTTTAGTATCTACTGATATTCACTGTATACTGATGCCTCAGAGAAATCAAAGGCCACATCCTATAATCAAGTCCAATGCATTTCATTTAAAGAGAATGAATATTTTATTAGTACATAAGAGGTTTTCATGTCCTACCAGTTTACTGGAAGCTCCTGCCCTTTGCTTTCTAATTCTAAGCGGGTTTATGCTGAGTCAAATTAGCCTGCCATTAACTCAAAACGCTGACTTTGTTTTGTTGTTTTGTTTTCCTGAATTCCCAGAGTTTGTAATCATTTCGAGAGTCTGTAGTTCTGACACTAAAGAGCTATTTCCTAACTGTTGAGAATGAGAATTTAAACAACCAATGCTTGTAAATTAGGATAAATGAAATTTTCGTCAATGCTCATCATTGAGGATATAGCTAACAAGTATAAGTTCTAACAACTGACAGGGAACCCATTCTGCACTATTATATATTTACTTTTTTTTTTTAATTTTCTTTTTTTTGAGACAGGCTGCCACTAAGAGGTCCAGGCTAGCCTGAACTCATTTAGTAGCATACACTAGCTTTGAACTTGTGACAACCTCCCATAGCCACATCAGTGCCAGTGTCCCAAGCCTAAGCCATCATAGCTGGCTTTATAATTTAACAGACATAGGGAATCTTGCCCTGATTCTGGAGACTCAGACCCCCCCACCTCAGCAGGAATGATTCTTTGCAGTCTCTGTGTTTCTAAGAGCACTTTTGGGTGACATGTGTGAATACCACTAGGATGAGGAAATACTACTTCACCACCCAAATTGTACAAGAGGAATTGTCTTTCGAGTTACCCTACCACCTTCCATGGATCTGTGTATGAAATGAAGCAGTGACAGATGAGCCCAAAGCAACCATGAAACGCACACAAAAGGCAAACCAAACACAAAATGAATCAATGCCTCTGTACCTCTTCAAAGTCATCTTTGGCTGAAGGAAGGTCAGTGGCTAAGCTAGAGTCCCCCAGGCTCTTCTCCATCCGTTCTCCATGTACCATTGTTGTTTTAACAACTTTGCTGACTCTACGGCCTTCTACTGGTTCGGCCTGAAACTGTGAGGTACTGGACAAAATGCTGGGTTCAGACAAAGTCACCTAATGAATGAAGGACACGTGACAGAAACTGAAAAAATTCCCAACTGAAAAAATGGAACAAACGATGACATTTTCTGTGCTATGACATAAAATGGTTATAAAACTGGTTTTCTAGAAAACAGTAATTAGGAATAAGAGAGCAATTGATCTATTTGAGTATGCATGGCCACAGCACTGAGCTGATTAATGGGTCACTTGAGTAAAAATGTACCAGCCGCATTTCTAAAAGGCTGACAGGTGCAGTGTAGACTGCTATCCTAGGTTTAATCTCTTCCCCACAATTATTTCTTCTGCAACATGAAGATAAACTCAACCCCTGAAGGGAGAGCTTGAAACACTATGGGAGACAAAGTAGATGGCTAGGTGGTCTCAGGTCCATAATCATATGATTCTGAAGATATGAATGAGTGCCAAACAGTAAGACTTTCAAATTGTGTGTCTATGAGAACCAGTGTGTGGTGGTCTGAAGCCTTCCAAAAGGGAAGTGAAAGAGAAAGTGACAAATTATAAAGCACGGAGTTCCAGATCATAATTTTAATGGTCCAGAAATGCAGAAGTTTGAGTATCAAACACATGTCTAACGTGACCTTTGGAAGGCTGGTGTGCCAATGGGCCCAAGCACTGCAGTACACTTAGACACTGTCTCTCCATGACACACATCTGGCCAGAAAAAAAAAATGGACTTTATTCTCTTAAAACTTGACTTTGGATTTCTACTGTAATCAACTATGAAGTAAATAAAACATAGAAATGAAAAGAACCAAACAAAGACAATGAGAATAATGGCCACATAAAACTGAGATTCAGTAGGAATGAATGTTTTCAATTTTTTTTTTTTTTGGCTTGTGTTTTGTCTTTCTCTATGCAATAAACTCTGTGGAGTTGAGTGGCCTCACCTCTGACTGCTGGGTGTCACTCTTCAATACCACACGCTTTATCACTTTGGAATAGCTGTCCCCATCCTCGATGTTGACTGGCTCTTGCGGCATTCCCTGCATGGTAATCTCCTCTTTCTCTGTGCCATCAGAGGATACATACCGCCTAATGATTTTCCGGGTAACCTAAAAAGCAGTTCACGAGTCTATCTTATTTTTGAGTTACAGTACCACACTAGAGACAGCATTTGAACAGGAAGAGTGAGGTCGGCCCTATACAGAGCCCCTGGGCCAGTACCTTCTTCACCACAGTGTGTCCATTCTCATCAACATATTCTTCCTCTGTGACTGTCTCTGGGGGTATGTCAGGCATATCATCTCCCTAAACAGTAGGAGAAAAGTGTTACTTTAGTCGCTGGCACCGTCCTGAGGAACTACAGCCGAGTGTTTTTAATTCGAGGAATGTTAGAAAACCAGACAGAGGTCATGTGGAGAAGTATTGCTGAGATGCAAAATCCTGTCAGTTTGATTAATAAAGATTAAAACAAGTAAGCAGGTAGATTAAAAAAGAAACAACAAAAATATCATGCTTAGGAGAATCTCACCCAAGCTAGGTAAAACATCATCAACCAACAAAAATGGATAAGCAAGAGGAGAGATAGGTGAAAGCCAAGAAGCCAAATCTTTCGTTTGCGTGCTGGCTCTCAGAGGAAGGCTGCAAACATCCTTGGCACTACATTCCTTTATAAATGAGACAGAAAGATGGGAGCCATTTTCCACTCATGCACTACCTATGAAGCATGCTCAGCCTCTGTTGTTCTGGGTCACTTAGTGAAGGACAGAGCTGTCCCGACGTGCAGTGGATACCTGGATAATCACTCTCCGGCGGACAACCCTGGTAGTTACCATGGCCTCCTCATCTGAGCTGGCCTCCAGCTCCCCTAATTCCTCTGTTAGCTCCTGGTAGAAGCATGCAAGAATCGTTGTTTTTGTTTCATTTTGATTTTAAAATTTTTAATCAAAAATTTTCTTGAGATAGAATCTCATTTGGTAGACAACCCTGGCCTTGAATTTCTCATCATCCTGTCCCAGACTCCTGAATGCTAGGTTTACAGATGTGAGCCACTGCAGCTGGCTGCATTGTTTTGCTTAATTTGCTATTGACTATCTTTACTACTGGCTGCTGGGTTTGTCCAGATCATAGTCTGAGATTTTGTGCTGGTGGAAAAATCATCATTTTTGGTGGAGTAAAAATTACATGTGTGGTGATCTCAAGTCTCAACAAGTAGGTAGTTTCATTGCTTCCGGAATCATAGTAAAATCCTGCAATCTGAGAGCTGTCAGAATAGCCATCTGTCAAAATTGGTCCCAGAGAAAAGTGTTTCCCACATGAACCCTGGTTCTTGAAACTTGCATTAAAAGCCAGGTGAAAACACAGGGCCTAAGTTGCACAGTAGACACTTGTGATCCATGGACCAGTCTTGACCAGGTCCAGAATAGAACTCTTATTCTATATATGAAACAGCTCGTATTTGTATCTGAGCTTTCTGAAGGGAAGTAAATGCCCTGGAGATATTAGTTAATAGTACATTTTCCTGGCATCAAGAGTTGTAGACCTTGAATAATATTAGACTAGTTTTTCAAAGAAGTTCAGAGAATACTCTGATTTAAGAGTTTGATCCAAAGCCAAAGATGAGGCTAGGAATAGAATTTTAGATCAGAAAACATGTCTTAGGAGTCATAAACTGTCAGTTTTTCCTAACGGAGCCTGACTTCCTCCCCTCCTTTCCTCTCTTCTTACTCCTCCTTCCTCTTCCCTCCCCTCCCCTCCTCTCCTCTCCTCTTTTCTTCTCTCTCTCTCCCTTCTTCCCTTCCAAGTTTTTTTTTTTTTTGATCGCATCCTGCTTTGTTATATCCGAGGTTGGTTTTAAAATCGTGATCTTCCTGCCTTAGATTTCAGAGTTCTGGAATGACAGGTATGGATTCCCCTGATCAGCTTGAAGTGGCATTAGTTTTGTTCTTAAAGGAAAGGAGTACATTCAATTAGCTTAATACGTCTCAAAATACCCAATTTATAGTTCCGCATCCTTCTCTTTGAAAGAAAAACATACAAATTAAAAACCAAGTTATACATTAAATACATTCAGGAACCTACCATCCAGCAGTAGGATCAGATGCTTTATAATAACATTTTTAAAATATATCTCAGAACATAAAATGTTGCTTAAAGCTCTCACTCTTCAAAGGAAAGTAATTTCTAGTTTAATTTGAAACACATTAGGATTTGCTCAGTCTAACTCTCCAGGCTTCTCCAGGGAGAAGAGTTGTGAGGATGGACAAGTTCCTCAGCAATGCTGAGGTCTGTGGACTATATAAACCACATCTGGGGAATCCATGGTTTAAAAGCATTTCTTAAGATGGCCAGCACCTCTGCTCACAACTTTAAAACTCTCCTTATGACAAACAGTGCATCATAATGTCCTCTCAGGACACTGGCAGGCATTTGGACAATAAAAGAGGATACCAGGTTTAGGGACAGTGCTTTGTTGTTTTGTTTTTCTAAGTTATTACTAAAACCAATCTGAGGAACTCTAATTTGCAAGTACACTGGCAAGATGGTTCATCTCTCCAGCAGAGGCACTCTGGGAAGACTTGATCTGGGTTTCCACGCTCCACAAGGGGGCAAGAAAAGACCAGCTTTGACCTCTACACATGCACTGTGCTGTATACACACACACACACACACACACACACACACACACACACACACTCAACCCCCCACACACTATTTTTTTTTAAATAAAGTTGTACTTTTGCAATGAGGAGCAGTTTGGTGCTAACCACCCCAGATAGGCAATGCAAGCGCTCATCGACACATGCTGCTCAGAGCCTGCAGGCCCAGCTTCACGCTGTTATTCTCTCAGCAGATTTTCTTATCACCATCACCACTGTCACACACGACTCTAGTAAATTTTCAAAGCTGTACTATATTGACTCACTACAGAGTTGTTTTTTTTTTTCTTAGCAGACAGATTCCCCATGATGAAATCTGAGCTCCCAGTATGACAGCTAACATTGGAACTGTGTACCATTTTTTCTGGATTTACTAGCTCTCAGGGAGTTTCTCATGTCCAATTTAACTGAAGTGATAAGCCATTTTAGTTTTGAAGTTAAAAACCAATACAAAAAAAAAAGGAAACATTAATAGAAAGAGAAACCAGGAAGCTGTGTAACTCTGTCACAGGTGAGGCAGGGTGCACCAAGGAAGGAAGTCCTAACCTTTTGGAAAGCAGAATCACCATCCAGTCTTTCAAAGACCTGAGGCTGGTCGTCTGTTGACTCCACTATGACCAGGCTGGTTTTCCTTGGAGAATTCTCCTCTTTGGGCTCAGGAGCCTCCTCAGGTTCTTGGACAATAGGAGACGCACGTTGACTAGTCACTGGAGTCTGGACACAAGACTTTGCTTCCTCAGGAGGGGTACTGATGTCCTCAGGAGTCTTACAGAGAGAGTCAGGAACAGCTGTGGCCTTTTGAGTGTCTTCCACTTCTGCCCCTGGAGTTGTTACACTGGAACAAAAGAAGTCAATTTACTCCTAAAGAACATTGGAAGGGAAAATGGAATTTCTCTTGGTGCTAGCCAAGATACTATGTGTGTGTGCACACATAATGCACACAAATACACACACACACACACACACACACACACACACACACACAAATATATATATAAATGTGAAAAAATAAACCTTGAGGTAACAAAGGTTTATATGTAATGCTTTTGAAGCAAGCAAGAAAGTTATCAGAATGCAATAAACTTTGGTTCGTGTACTTAGTGTAATTACAAATAGATGTATAATTGCATGTCTATTATTTGATATAAGGACCTGTTGACAGTGATACTTTCTAGCAGTTCTGAGTAATTCCCATGTAGCTTTTCAAAACCTCAGTTTCTCAATAAGAACATGTTGGCCTTTTCTGCTCCTTGCTTTGTACCTGCCGTTTTCTGTCCTGTCACTGGTAACAAATGCCCTGAATGCCTTTTTAGTGGACCTGCTCTTCCCACATTTTCCTTTCTATATCTCTCTGTTTTATAACCTTTCCTGTATGTTCTCCCTTGCATTCTATGGGCAGGTAACAGAGGATGGTACCCACAAGGAAGAAATCATTTCAAGTCTCCCTCTTCTCCTGTTTCAGTGACCAGAGAACAAAACTCACTCAATGTCAATGAAATACTGGGCTGTGAGCTCTTGATACACTAACGTTCCTAAGCTCTAACATCTAACTAACATCTCCTAAGTTCTTCTGTCTTCCTGGATAGAAAGTGTTGCTCAGGCAGCTCTCTCATTTACCTGGTAAAGATCTGAGCTGAATGATTCTCTAGGGTCCTTGTAAGCCAACAAAGCCTCTCTATCTTTATTCTCACTCCATCCTGTCTCATACTAATGGTATTGCACTCTATGTACATAATTTATATTACAGTGTTTTATACTTAGACACTACATAGCTTTTCTGAAGTACTCATGGGCTGCTGTTCTCACACCATCGATGTTCACACTCCAGCACAGCCATGGCACCAGGTGCAAGCATTCCAACGAGATACAACAATCCCCCAAGTAATGACTGTGCTCTGGAAGGAGTATGCTGCAAAGGTGAGTTCCAGGCTTATCTTTGGCCTCTGCTTCTATTACATAAGTAACACGTGTGCAGCTATCATGAAATCTAGATGCAGAAATGGAGATTTCAAGCATTTTGGGATTGTCCAAGCTCACAGAACTAGAAGTTAGCTCAGGTAGAATAGCATCATACAACACTGTCACAATTATGTATCTTGACTGTTCCAGGTTTTCTACAACACAGCCTATGATTACAGGTGGGGCACCATGAGATTACTGGAACTTGCCCTTGTAGGGCTGCACTCCCTGTCACAGCTGTCACAGCCGCTGCTTCTCTGCAGCTGCATTTAATAGTCTTTCCACTGAAACTCACTAGTATTCCTGCTGGTCTTGCATTTTCCCTGAGAAGTCTTGTTGAACTGGCTCCTGGTGCATTTGGGGAGACAGTGCAGCTGCTGGGCTTTCCCCTTCAGTTTTGGGGATACAATCCTGAAATGTGGAATAACCAACAGATATGTCTTCTTCAGAGACCATGGGTGGGTGGTCGCTAGACTCGCTTTCTTTGGAAGCTTCCTGCTCCTTCTTTTCCTTGGCAGCACAGAGCTCCTCTGGAAGTACTGAAAACCCTGCAGGGGAGAAAATATTCATGAGTCTCACTTATACTAGGAGTATATTTGGTAAGGACCACTATGTTCCACATCCTGCTATAGGACCATTTGTTAGGAAGACGAGCAAGATGTTGTGCCTGACTTCAGCATGCTCATCACCGAGGAGCCTAAGGAAGGAGTAGTAGAAAAAGATGCATAGTGATGGGGCCACGGGTGCCATAGAGAATTGTGGGAGCACTTCCTCAGTATTAAAGCATCTGAAGAAACCCAAATGACAAGCAGGCATCTCCTGTGACAGTTCAGTCAGATTCCAAATGATAAGAGGAATCCTTACCACCTTGGGTTCGGTACTCTTTTTATGTAGACACTCTTATGCAGTGATAAGGGATTTCATTACATCAAGAGCAATGGTGGGTCACTGAGAGATCTAGCAGCATGTGTGGAGGAGGGATGCTATGAAAAGGAAGTGAAGAAAGCAAATAAGATGGGTTGAAAGAAAGAGAGATTAATTACTTTCATCAAATGTTATCAAGGTGTGAAGGAACTTGAACACTGGGGATTTGGTAATAGGGAGACAATTACTGGAGTTTACAAGATGGACCAGAGTAGTATACAGAGATCTCAGGAGAGGAAAAGGGAAGCAACAGGGCATTCCAGCCTCTTTCTTGAAGAGGTTTCCTACAAAGTGGGCAGAAAAACAGAGCAGACACAGGGAGGGAGCAACTTAGAATCAGAAGAGCTATTTGATTTATTTTCCTTTCAAGGACAGAACTCTTACGAGTGTGTTGCAATGGCTTTAGACATGGTTCTAATTATAAGAGCCAGACAGATACTTGCAGGAATGAAAGCCTTGATTAATAGAGGATGAGGATGAGAATCAGCAGAGAAGATGTAATAGCTTTAGCAAATAAGGGAAAGTGGTATATTGTGGCAGGAAGGAAGGTAGAGCGTGTACACTCAGATACCTTATCTTGGTAGATCTTCTGGTAGAAACATGTGGAGATTTACTAATGATTCTATATATGTAGCAAATCAGAGGTAAACTCATCAAGTAAGAATAAATAAGGGGAAGAGAAATCTTGAGAATTTGAAGGAAGAAGTGAACGTACAAATCAGAGAGGAAAGGGGGAAGGAAGAGTTGGGAGAGGATGGAGGAGGAGGGACAGACTAAAACCAAGTGAGAATAAATTCAGTATAAATGAATACTTATAGTTGACAGGGCCAGTGGCCAAAAGCTCCAGTGCATCTAAAAAACTATTGGTTCAGAAATGAAGAAGGAAGCAGAATGCTTAAATATTATAGTGTTTAGAAAGTGTACAGCTACTGATTATGATGTGTTGGTACAGAACATAAAACTTGGTGGTTAAAGTAGATTTTAAACATGTCAGTACCAGAAGTGCTCCCCAAGGAACTGAGGAAAAAGGAACTGGATGGTCACTTATGACAGGGAGACAATGAGGAATGAGCAGAGGGGACACTATGAACTGAGAAAAAACTGAGGTGGCATATAAACAAATACATCACCACCAAAGGCTGGAGTTTGTTGCCTAAAAAATGAAGGCAGTAGGTCCAGCTTTCGTATTATCCCCTATCCCCAAGAGACATCACTTGACCTTCACTGTGGTCCAGTGTAATGGTCTGTTCTATTTCAGCATAGCTGCGGCCCATGCGCTCCTGGAGAGGCTCTGTGTTGGTCTCCAGGAGATGCACAATGTCCATCCTGTTGATCTTGGTGAGGCATTCGATGAGGATAGTATCTGAGACATTGGAGAAAAGACATTCCTTACATCTGAGTGGTACTCGTTTTAGGATTTCTTTCATTCAGTTGCTTTACTACATTAGTGGTATTCAAATAAGAACCTGGCAAAGTCTAGCTAGGACCTTTGAAAACAGAGGCAAACAGTGATGCATGTAGCCTGCACACTATAAACCCTAAAGGCAGAGTGGACAAACAACAAATCCAAACTGGAATCTAGGTAAAAACAAAGACTTTAAGTATAGCTCAAATACAGTGTGAAATATATTTATATCTTAAGATATTCATTGATTATCTGTTTTTAAGTTTATTCAAGTACCCTTCTGTTCCTATTTGCTAAATTTGTCAATGCTGCTAAAAAGAATGTGGACAAAAAATAGACACCCCCCCCAAATTAAAAACAAAAACAACTAGACAACAACATCCACAAAAAATACAGCAATAGATATGAAGCCCTTCATGGAGTAGTGAAAGAAAGCCCCGAACCTTTACAGCAGCTATGAGCTATTTCATTTCCCATCCCCCCCGCCCCCCGAGAGGGTCATACTATAAAGTATCAGTCATCATGTAGAGTACCTATTTGGTTCCCCTCCCCCACATACCTAAATTAGTAGAGAGGAATATAAGCATGAACTGAAGACAAATATACCACTCATAGCTATAACTACACACTGTGCCCACAAACCATACTCTGAAACTGTTAGGTCTCAGTGAACTTCCTGTTGGCAGCTAGGGCTGATATCACTCCCAAATAGCTGACATTGTTCACAAACATACCATGCAAGAATTTTCTTGGAATGAGACTATTCTAAAACCGATAGCAGCTTGCTGTCTTTCATTGACAGTGGTTCTTAAAACTGATGACTGCTGACAGTTTCTCTTGCTGATTTTAGAAGAGTGGGATCACTGGGAGACCCACTTCTACCTGAGCTCCACCCCTACTATAACACTGTCCCACCTACCTGTGGCATGCTTCCCATCCCTCTCCAACCAGTACTTGAGCAGTGCATGGCTCTGATCTTGAAGGGAGTTGGGGTTCTCAATTCGAATTTGGTGAATTTGCTCCTCAGTGAAATCCAGTTCTCTCGCTAATTCTACAACAACAACAAAAGGCTATATTGTCAACACCTTGAATTCAAGTTTCACTCTCTCTACCTTGTTTCTTGACGTGTCAGTGATTATGGCCTTGTGGTGCTATGAGCAATTGGAGTTAGAAGCGACTTATACACAAATGTGATAGACTAACACTAACTAACTCTCACTTTTGCTCACTCTCACTCTCCCTTAAAATTGGATATAAAATGGATTAATGTCATTGAGGAAGTAGTAAAGGTAAAGGGATAAAATGTGAAGGAAGATCAGACCATCATCACTTGTTTATATTTTTAACCAAGATAATGAAAAGAAAATGACTGGAAAATAAAAGAACCAGAACATTTCTAACTTTTACAAATTTTGTAACTACTACAAATCCTGTTTCTGCAAATGTATGCAAACACTGGATAAAGCTAACTTATAGTGATCAGATATGCTTTTTTCTTGATTTGATATACATGAGAGAAAGACCTTGGAAGTATTAAAATTGTGTAAGGTAGAAGCCAAAACGTTTTTTCAGTTGAATACAGTGATGTCCATCTTTAATCCCAGCATTTAGGAGGCAGAGGCAGATATGAGTTCGAGGCCAGCCTGGCCTACATAGTGAGTTCCAGGATGACCAGAGCTTCACAGAGCAACCCTGTCTCAAATGTTCCTTCTCAAAATGTTTCTTTATTTCACTATTAACATGCTATATGAATACTTGATGCTTGTATATGGTGTTCTAATGTGTTATGCAATTGTGTATAAATGCAATGACTTCTATTATCTAACTGATGTCAATATTAAAAGTATCCTTGATCTAGTAATTCTGTTTTAGAGATGTATTTTCTTTATCTTTTCTTTTGTTCTGTTTGGTTATAAGGTTTACATTTTCACCAACTTTTTTATACTTAACACATTTAGTATGTGTATGGATACATATATACTCAAGGAAAATAATGAATTTCTAATATGTCAACTGGGGATATTTTGATGTCATTCTTTCCTCTAAATCCCTCATGTAAACATCTGATGAGTATTTCAATATTATTCTAAAATGACTAAAAGTTAGAAAATGCCTATTCCTACTGCTTCCAGTCATTTATTCAAAATTATCAATCATCTTTGAAAATAGATACTTATTTACTACCAAATATTTAAGAAATATGGGATAGTAGTAACTTTATTTGTTCCCATATGGTTCATTTGTCTCAGTGAACCATATCCAAGTGATACATAAGGAACCACATCAGAGTTAAAAATGATAAATATGAAAGTAAACTAGGCTACAATGTGGCCTACTATTAACTCATGGGCAGGTGAGAAATATAGTTTAAATTTATAATTCATGATGTGTAAATAACAGTATGGATTTATAATTCACCTTTTCTTAATAGATCACTGAACATATGTTCTATGCTTCAATACCTCTGCCTCAAAAATAAAAATTCAAAAAATCAGTGTAACATCTCACTCATGAATATTTTAACATTCACCCAGAGCATATGTTAGTAAATATTTACTATGAAGATATCAAACATCAAAAAGAAGCAACTCTGGTGGAATCTCAAGTGTTATCAAAATTGCGAGGCATGGTAGCTCACAACTGTATTCCTGGCACTGGAGCTGGAAGATTACCATGTGTTTGGACATGCTTAAGTGACATACAAAGTTCGAAGTTGGCCTGGAATATAGAGTGAGAACTTGTCTCAGGAAAACAAAAACAAAATATTTTAAAAATTGAATCTAAGAATGTTTGAAGCCTGGCCATCTTTAGTCTCAAAGTCTTCAAATCTCAAATTCTAAACTCCAAAACTGTTGAGAACCATCTGCTCAGGCAGTGCTATTAGCTGTTCCAGTCAGATTTTTCAACTCACATATTTTCTGTGTTCTATTCCATATAGTCTTCCTAAAGAAAACAAAACAAAAAAACAAAAAACAAAACAAAAAAAACAAAACACAAACAAAAAAAACCAAAACAAAAACAAAAACAAAAACAAAAAACAAAAGAACAAAAAGAAGAGATCTTTAACTGGCTGTTTCTGTAGAAAACCTGAGTCACACCAATTACCTGTCCAGCTGAAGCCAAGGTGATCAGCAATGTAAGCCAGCCTTTCTTCCATCCGCTCCTGCTCATCTTGGGGATCTATAGAAGGTCAAAAACAGAATGGCCAAGGAGTCTCTGGGACATGAGGGGAACCATAGTACTGATCATCCAAGAAAGGAAGTCACTCGATCAAATATCTAATAGTCACACATATTAGCTATCATGGCTTAGGTCATCTGAAGTGGTGTGTTTTCTCATTTTTGGGATAAAATGGGGAATGAATCCCATGTGGTGATTTATGGAAACCATCTGCTTCCATATCCCTTAAATGAAGACTTGTAACTGAACTGAATGTCTAGTTATCTTGGGACTTTTCTTGTATGCTTTTGAAAAAGAAGAAAAGGAAGAAGAAGAAGAAGAAGAAGAAGGAGGAGGAGGAGGAGGAGGAGGAGGAGGAGGAGGAGGAGGAGGAGGAACACCTGCCCACCAAAGCACACTCACTTCACACATGAAACACCAGAGAATCACAGATGGGATACAGAAATAGAGTAACTGGTTGGGTTGTACTACTCTTGCCTGCGGAGGTGTCAATCACCACCACATCCTATCTGAAAGAAAGCACTAAGAATTACCTTAAGCCTGGACTTAAACTGAGGCCAGGAGCAACAATGTCCAGTTGACCTTTGGAAGAAGGCAGGACAAAGGCCTACGAGCTTTGTAGATCCAGTCGGTGGGACATTTGCTTCTGAGAAAAAGATTCTGGCTGCCTGTTTCTAAGCAAAGTCATGAAATGCAGACTCTCACAAACTAGAATTCATCCAATCCCCTTTTAACTGCGGTGGACTGCTAAGCAGCATCGGAGAATTCTATGTTGTCCACATAGGAATAAGTCTTCATTTAGAAATAATGGAAGCCTGCAGGTTACCTCTCAAAGCCACCCATGGTTTCCTTTTTTATAAAAAAAAAATACATATATATATAAGTCCAAGAGCCATCATTCCCTCATATCGTGCAATGTTTGAGATTTTGTTGTCTGCTGAGTCTTGCCTGAACACGGTCATTGCTCATTTTACCTCAAGTTTGCTGGACTAATTTGGTTATCATGGGTATCTGAAAGCCGACCTCTCCGAATTGAAAAACAGACCCACAATAATTAGAATGTTGGGATGTGAAAAATCTCTTTGAGTAAAGGGCTTCTGAATCATGACAAAATTAGATGCACCAATTAACCTACACCAAGAATTAGAAATTAGAGCAAGGAGGCCTTGTGCAGGGAAACCCATATGCTCCTGTGTAAAAACAAATGTAGTCAACTTGAGGCTAAGCCTGGAACACCAGAACAACAAAACTCAAAGCTTGTATGGCTTTACGTGCAGCAGCTAAAGAAAGGCAAGGTCCCCCATTGCTTGGTTATGTTTCTGGTTTGGATAAGCATTCTCATTACTCAATCTTGAGATTGTTTCATAGACAAGAATATACAGAAAAAGCACAAAACACAAAGGGCTTACACAAACACATTAACCACTACAGGAAGCTTAAAGAAAATGAGACATAAATCACAAAATAAAACAGACGTTACCAGAAAAGAAAAAAATCTCTATCAAATTTATGACATGCGTAGCACAGGGATTCCCAGTGTCTGGCAAATACCTTCAGCTCGGTCATGGCCATTTTCATCAGGGATACGTTCAATCATAGTCTCAATGGACTCATCCCAAATGGGCCTTGTGTCAAAGATGTCCTCGGGAGCTGAGTGCTCAGTGTCAACAGGTGGCAGATTCTCAATGACTGACACTTCCAGGGCACTGCTACTTTCGTCGTCTGAAGGTGGCTCCTGCTCCCTCTCTGACTGTGTAAGCCTGTCCACTAATTTGGAAGCCTCATCACTAATCTCTTCAAAGAATTCTATGGAGTTTCGGTAAAGGTCAAAGAAGTGCTCCCTACTCTCTCTTGTGGGGCTCGTGCCTGTCCTGCCGGAAGATGAGGTGCTTCTGCTCTTCACTGGCAGTCGGGATGCAAAGAGCTTTGGTTTTGTGGCTCCTTCTTCTGATTCTGACTCAAACCCCTCAGCCCTCTCCCTGCTCTCTGTTTCTGTCTCAATGTAACTTCTGGCTTTCACTGGGCATTTGGTCTTAGCATCTAAGGAGCTAGCATCTGATTCTGACTTGCTTCTACCATCTGGTGCTCTGCTTAGCGTGTCTTGTTCCTGGGGGACAGCTGTCTTCTGGAGAGATATGTCTGGATGGGAGGGCTGCCACTCAGTTCTTTGGGCCTGTGCTTTGATGGGTATTTTGGACTTTGGTTTTGTTCCATCCTCCTTACTATCCTTATCTAGGCCAGATGGGAAATCATCAGAAAATGCACTCTCATCCTCTGCAGACAGAGGGGCTGGGACTAAAGTGGGGAGAGTCCTGATAGGAATTTGGGGTTTGCTTTCAGCAGAAGGCACATTTTCCATGGGTGCAGTAGGGATCTCAATCACAGACTTCTGTTCCTCTGGAGAAGAATCTGGGGATTCATCATCCCGATCCGAATAAACAGACCTAGTGACTGTGGAAAAGTCCAACTGACCAACAGGTTCGGGGAGAGTAGGGCATGGTATCTGCTTCACAGTGCTCAGAGAATCACTCCACTGAGTGGTGGGGGGTTCCTCGGCCACTGTGGATATAGCTTCTTTGGTGGGTGTTTCTGAGGAAGCTGAAATTATCACTTGGGAGTCAAGGTTAGCATCTGAGGCAGGTAAATCCTCTATTTCCTCACTTACATCATCAGGAAGTAATTCTCCTTCATCATCCATTGCTTCTTTGGGTTCTGAAAGTTCCAGTGACTCACTCGTAGTCTCCATCTGTGGAGTCTCAGCCCCAGTGGCCCCTTCCTTCAAGTCTTCGGAGATAGTCTCATCATTGGATTCTTGGCCAATTTGGAAAAAGTGCAAACTTTCATCTGCATAGGATCTTTTGGTCATATCAATAGCACCACTTCGGGTCATCTCAAACAATTTTCCTTCCTGAAAGAGGAATGGATTTTGCTCACTTGTTGGGGTCCCCTCTTCAGTTGGGGTCCTAGCAGGAGTGGTATCAGGAGTAGTGCCCTGTGACTGTCTGTCTACCATCAAACCAAATATCTTCTGTTCTTCCTCTTTCACTCGAGCTTCAAAGGCTGCGTCGTCTTCACGGATCTCACTCCAGGAGTCGGCATCCACATCAGTTTTTGTGATGATGACTCTGCTTACGTGATCGCCAGTGACTACTGGTGCATTTGGTGTAGTGGGTGCTACAGACAAGGGAGGCTCATCAGACTTCACTGCCCACAAAGCACTTTTTTGCTCAGATTCAGTTTCTAGGTCGAGGTTCTCACAATTAGATTCTTCACCTGAGACAGCTCTATCAGAGGAGTTTGTCATTACAACAGCCTCAGGAGAGGATCTGATGATGACAGAGTACACTTCAGGTGAATGAACGACTGTGGTATGACAGGTATCTGTTTGGATTTTGCTGGGCTCACCAGAGAAAAAAGACGAGGAAGGAACATTTTCATAAGGACTGATGATTTGAGGATCAGAATTTTCATCAATCTCGGCTAAATCAGACTCTGGAACATCCAAGGCAAACCTCTCTGTTTGAGTTGTCATAGATGACTCTTGAATGGGACAGTCCTCTGACATGCTCTCCAAAGCCTGGTCAGTTATTGTGACTTCTACTTTTACAGGGGAAGATGGGGATGGTATTTCTTTAGCTGATTCATTTCCTTCAGGTACTGCACAATGAGATGAAGAAGACAAGGAAGCACTTTCACTGGGAAGATCTGCTTGTTGTGTAGATTCCACTCTGGAAGGATCAAATTCTTTTTCTTCTTGGTCACTTTCATGAATATCCTGGAGAGCTAGTGCGTCTTTATCAATGGCCAGGGGCTTATCGATATCATTACACTCTGGACTCTGAACTTCTAGGGAGATGGGAGTGGCTGAGTTGCTAGGACTCACAGCCTCACAGCCGTGGCCATCACAGGTTTCTGGCTGAGTCGTCTCTCTGTCCAGGTCATTGTAAGACCCATCGGCACCATCAGCAGAATGAGTCTGACGGTCTTCGGCTAAATGTGACTTGCAATCTTTATTTTCTTCTGGGTTACCTGGCTCTTCTTGAACTTCCTCATTCATCTTGAACGTATATTGCTTGGGAGCTATGGGCTGGAACTGGGCTTCTTCAGGGCTGGAATTAGAGTCTATGCTGGATGGGAGGGGAGATGGAGGTTGCACTCGAATAACTGGCTCGGTCAGAAGTCCCGAGTCAGCGCCTTTATTCAGCTGTGTCAGCTCAGGTTCGCTCTCTGAGGAGGAAGAAACCTTTCTGCTCTCCGAAGTCACCAAGACAGGGACCTCACTTTCACTCTCTGTGCCCTCCGTCTGTTTCTGTTCATCTACTTCTGCTAAACAGTCAGCATCGGGATCCGAGGCTGAGGAGGAGCCATCTTGCCTAGCTTCTTTTTTGTAGTCTCTTTTCTGCTTTGCTTCTTGCTCAAGTTCATCAAACGTTTTAATTTTGGTTACCATTTTGAACATTTCCTCTTCTGGTGTGAACCTCTTTTTCTCCCCATTTTCAGAGTCATCCTCTTCTGCACATTCATGAATCACAGCTGGTTTGGGTGTACTTGAATCTGAAGGTTTGGGTGTGACCTCATAGCTAACTTCTTCAGAGCTGGGGGTGTCAGGGGAGAGGGGGCTTTTCCCTGAGCTCTCCATAAGTGATGTCTGCTCTAGACTGTCATCCTCAGCACTGCCATCAGGGTCTCGGAGCAGCCGAGAACGCATAGAGGCCACTTCGGCAACAAGATCTGTTTTGGCAATAGCAGCAGGAAGAGGAAAGTGACTTGGGAGAATTCCTGCCTTCATTTTAGGCTCAACTGGGCTGCTTTCAAGGGAGTCCCTGCAAGGTGACTCTTTCAGAGGGCTAGGTTCCAGAGAATCAGGAGTTTTGTGTGAGGAGTTATCTTCTAGTACAGGGCTGGCTTCCAGAGAGTCTTTGTGGCTGACTGCTAATGATTCATCAGCCATTGGGCTGAGAACCTCACTATCCCGGTTAGGGAGAGGAAGTTCTAGCCCTTGGGGACTTCTAATAACTCCCTGGGGCTTTGGTTCTGGTCCCTCAACTGTATTGACAGAAGCATCAGATGGTGGGAAGGCCTTTGTCACTTCTGAGGGAGTTAAGGATTCCTGAGTTTCACTTTCTGGTTGTGTCTTATAAGCTGAACTAACAAGTGGGAGCTGACTTTCACCACAGGAGGACTCTTTCTCAGTAAATGCCTGGCATGGCTCATTTGCTAATGATATACTCTGGCTGCCAGGGCAGCCATCTTGTTTGGAGCACACATCTTTAGGAGAGTCTTGGGTGACCTCCTTTGGAAAATGCTCTGTAGAGGGCTCTGAACCCCCAGTGACCACAGCACCTTGTTTTTCAGAACTATCAGTAATGTCCTTAGCTATAGGAAGCTCTTTTTCTGAATGAACGTCTGTGGGTGCTTCTACCTTGATAGCTTCCTTGGCCTCTCCAATTTGTTCCTCACTTTTCTTTGGTGAGAAAGAAAGACTCTCTGGACTTGTCTCAGGAGTTTCTGCTAGGCCCTCATGTTTGTAGCTCTCTTCTGAACTGATCTGAGGTGTGCCTTCCATCAGGCTGCCACAAGGCGAGCCTGCTATCACTTCCTGTTTCAGGCTTTCAGAACTGCCACCCAACGCACCACTCTGTAAAGACAGAGCTGGAAGGAACTCATCTTTCATGTAATCTAGTGGAAATGTTGTGTTGAAGGGACTCGTGATTACTTGATCTAAATGGATCTGAGCCTTTTCAGTGTTCTCAGTGAGGCGGAATTGTTGGTATTTGTCATTGTCTTCTAACTCTTGTTTGATGACGTCTGAAAAGTCAGTGGAGGTTTTCCTGTCTGGGCTGATCTGAAGATCCATGTCTCCCTGCTCATCCACTATCTTCCCTTGAAGGCTCTCGCTCCTGAGATGGCTTTCTTCTGCTGCCACTGATGGAACTGCCTCGGGTGTTTTAATGATGGGGGTTCTCTCAAACCTTTCTCTAACTGGATCTTCCATCCTGAGCCCAACAGTGATGGTGGTAGAACGGAACCGTCTGGATTCCGTAGGTCCTGTAACCTGGAATCTCTGGCCACGCTTGGCTGTCTGATTTTCTATTCTCTGGGTTTCTCTCTGGGTTACAGTGTGCCCTTTTTCTTTTTCTACCCGACTTTTACCTTTATCTTGTGATTGTTTCTGTTTTGTTGATTTGTGCTCAAAGAGTCCTGTTTTGTGTTTAGATGGGTCCTGACCTGACTGGAATGCTTTCATGAGCTCCCGGACAGACATTGTCTCCTCGATTCGTTCGGTCTTGGAGGTAGGAGATACAGGTGGCTGCTTTTCTGTCTTTCCAGGAGACACGGGCAGGTGCTTGTCATGTTTCCCTGTGGCAGACCCAGGTGCCTGCTTCTCTGGGGTTCTTATAGAAGGTGTACTGGGCAAGCGTTTTTCTGTTTTGCCAGGTGACACTGGAGGATGTTTCTCTGTTCTTCCAGATGATGGGACAGGTGGACGTTTGTCTGTTTTGCCTGAAGGTGACACAGGTGTGTGTCGTTCTGTTTTTACAGATGACACAGGGGAATGTCTTTCATTTTTCATTGAGGGAGAACCAGGTGAATGTTTCTCGGGTTTACCTGAAAATCCTGGTGAATGTCGTTCGGTTTTTGCCGAGGGTGAAACAGGTGAGTGTTTCTCGGTTTTGCCTGATGGTGACACTGGCGTGTGCCTTTCAGTTTTTGCAGAGGAAGAAAGGGAAGAGTGCCGTTCTGTTTTAGAAGAAGGCGATGACTTTGAAGAGGGTGACACAGCTGTGTGTGTCCTGGGAGAAGTCTTTTTGGGCACATCTTCTTTGCCTTTGACCCTGACTGGCAGCTTGCTTCGACCTTTCTGTTCATCTTCCACTCGCTTCTGAAGAGCCTTCACTTTGTCCTTTATGGAGCCAATAGGAGTTTCTTCTATCAGAGGAGAGGTGGCCTTGGCAGTGGGAAGGGGTTCAGGGGCCAGACCCCGGTCTTCCTCTACTGACTCCTCTGAACTACCTTTCTTAAGTTCGGTCTTTTCTTCACTGTCTTGCGGCGAGCTTTCCTCTTTCTGTTTCTGCTTTTCCTTTAGTTTCCTCCGTACTGGCTTCTTTATTGCCAGGCCTGGTTTGAGCTGCTTCTGAGCACCCTGTTTCTCCTCTGCTGGAGTGGCCTTCCCTTTATTACTCTCAGAGCTCTTGCCAACAGCTGAAGCCTGACTTGTCTCCCCTGACTTTTCTGGAGCTGTTTGTGGCTTCTTTTCATGAGGATGAGTGTATGCATTTAGATCGTCTGTGAGGTAGTTCACTAACCCAGTGGAGTCCTTCTCGACTTTAGCCTTGGTCTCTCTGTCTACTCTGACCTCTATACATGGGTGTTCAGCAATTTCTACTGGGGCGTGTTGCTTGGCCTCTTCGATCTCCTCATCACTGACAATAACCCATTCCTCCTCTAGCTCCCGCTCAGACTGAGAACTCCGCACTCTGCCTTCGTCTCTCACGCACGTTCCACTCCTCAGGATCGCATTCACCTTCTCTAAGTCCTCTTTCACTCTCTCTACAATTTCAAAGGGCTCGCCTGGCTCTTCTTCACCGGCCTTTGCCAGCTCCTTCACTTTGATTGAACCTGCCTTATCAGACACATCTGTGGTCAAGATGGCCGTCATTTTGATCAAATCTTGTTTCATCTCAGAAACTTCAGAAAGCAAGTCCGGACTTGCTAAGACAGGAACTTCATTAACCAGGTGGCTTTTCAGGACAGATGTTTCTGTCGACTCTGTCTCATCATCTTTGATGTGAATGAAAAAACATTGAAAGTAAAATGGAAATCAAAAAAGATATTGGCAAATGTAATCAGGACCAAAACAACACAGCGTCTTTTCCTGGTGGTAGGAGGGGCAACAGAATGGGCTGGGAATGGTGGATCCATAAGGTCTCAAGGAACAAGAGCAAAGCAAGGCTAACGGAAAAAATAACTGAAAAGGAAAATGAGCAGGAAATAACTTGCTTAATTTTCTCACTGTAGCACATTCATACATACAACAAAGCTATCACAAATACTCAAGACATACATAAAAAAGTCACAAATCAAAAAGAAGAGCGCAGTGAAATTGCACAGAGGTATCTCAAGATTGTCCAGATATTACAGATCAATGTCAGAAAACAAAACAAAACAAAAACCATGGGAAAAAAAGGGAAAAGTAAAGCATTAGAAATAGCAGAATATTGATTTCCTCCACAAGAAAGCCAGTAGAAGCAAATTCAGAATTGCACCCAATTCCTACATTTTAAATCCCACAGGTCTAGAATTCAGTCAGCACAGTTCTGCCACCATACAGCAATGGCAGAAAACACACCTGAATCAGCTGCAGACTGGCATTTCAAATAAGGGAAATCCACACCTGACAATGACACACATCTCGTGCTGGGAGGCATGGCCCTTTCCTTGGAGGAACCTCCTTGTTTAGAGGTGTACCAGACAGACCAAGGAGGAGGATAAAGGAAAGACAAACGACGGAAACACCAGCTGTGACTGAACATGTATGTGAACCCAGAATTCAAATGTGATGCATGGCAACCCAAATTAGAGACAGTCACACAGGACACACGCACAGTTGATGTAAGCCAAGTTATTTCCATGCAAAGCAAAGGTGGGATAAAACCACTGGGCAGGGGCAGCCTTGCAGAAAAGCACGGGCAGGAGGGTGGTGAGAAATTAGAACAAAAATGTAAAATGTTACTGTGGTGAAGTGTGTTTACCTCTCTATGAGTCAATGCCTAAGTTAGTTTGAAAAGTACACTGAAGTCACAGGTCAGAAGGCCTTTTCACCACCAACAGAGAGAAAGAAACCCTCAGGGTTGGCTTATACAAAGATATGTTAGAACAATACGGAAATTATATAAGGATTGCCTTTAAACTAAAACTGCAGACAAATAATCTACATTTGAAATCTGGAAGATATATCTGTGACATTATAGCAATGTGGGTAATATTACTACTTTTTTAACTGACCCAGATCAGTAATTTTAAATTCCTATTAGCTTGTACATAGGAGTAAAGGAAGTCAACACAATAGCCCTAAAGAAGAAAGAGGGAGAGAAAAATTCATGTAAAAAAATCATTAAAAGCAATAATATGTGTCATAAACAGAACATAAAAAAATACAAAAGTGCCTCCTCTGGACAGAATTTGTATTTGTTCAGAGGATAGTGTGTGTGTGTGTGTGTGTGTGTGTGTGTGTGTGTGTGATTTATACGTAAAGTATACTAAATAAATTTATGTAAATGCTGATTTGTTTGGTCATATAACTTACTGAAGACATCAGCATCTCAGATAGTTTCATCTTGAATGAGGTTTAAACACAAAGGTAAGCCTCAGTTAAAGCAATCCCAAAAGGACAGCAGTAAGCTACAATATGCTAAGACTTCAAAAGAACAGGTCATCAGCATGGTGTTTAATGAGATCTGCACCCCATAAATCTTGGGTACATTAATGCTTGGTCCCTAGTTGGTGACTGTTTTGTAATGTTTAGGAGGTGTGGCCTTGCTGGAAGAAGAGCATCATTAGGGGTAGGCAGGCTTTGAAGTTTCCAGATTACAATAGTCTGCCACTTTACTACCTCTGCTCTGCCACCATAGACTAACCATTGGGAACCCTGAGCCCCAAATAAAATTTTCCTTCTGTAAGTTGCGTCGGTCATGATGTTTTATCACAGCAATGGAACAGTAACTAATACAATCGGGGCAGAATGATGATGACACATAGCTCTGTGTTCTTTCCATTCAGGGCATTACCCTGGGATATGATGGATCAACATAAATCTTAATAATCAATCAAAGTACAGGTTAGAATGTTTTTCTCAAGGACTGAAGGGATAACAAAAAGAAAATCTATAAAGTTCAACTTGGGTTTCTACACAAGAAGCCAGAGAGTCACAGGGAATAGAGGGAAAAGATGAAATGTTATTTCAGATCTCCAGTGAATTCATGTCTGGTTATTGCTCTATATTTTGTTAGATGTCAAATTGGTGTTTAATTGTAGCCACACAAGGACACACTGTGGTCAGTAGCTTTATCTGGGATACTTTAACTTTTGCATTCTTGTCTTTTCTTTCCTTTGAAATTTTCACAAAATTCTGTTAGGTCTCACCTAAAGGGTTCAGGTACACTTCACCACAGTAAGAGTGGAAGGGATGGAAGGGTGTGTCAAGGGGTGAGCTTTGACTAAGAACTATTAGACAGTATTATTTTTGTTAGGTACATCCTTCCAAAGGAAAGGCTCTCTACAGTGGTCACTGTAGATTGATGTAAAAAATAATACTGTCATGTCAGTGCTTAAAAAATAATGAGGTGACAGTGTTAAGCTAACAAAAGGACAAAACGGTAGGGTAGCTTTCTAAACAGGCTTGACAGCAATGCCAGGAGTTACAGGGATGTCAAAAGAAAGTGAATGCTTAGATGAATAATCACTGTATTATTGCTCATTAGCTTACAGATTAGGTATATTATGATTTAACTGGCCAAGCTGCTTTTATAAATTTATATTAATGATTAATAAGAATTATATACAAATGTAATTATTATAGTGGTTAGTAATAGCAACTAGCTTGCATCTTAATTCATGCTTCTCCTCAATATAGCCAGCTTTCAAACAAATTCAATTTTTATTTAAAAAAAAAATCTTACTTTTCTCTGATGTCATACCGATCTGAAAGAAAACACACACAAATTCAGTGGTTACAGAACAGCTCTCCACTCAGAATCCCTTATGTGCATAGCAAGAATCTATTTGTAATTATACACCTGAGAGTGGCATCAGCTAAGGTTTGTATACATAAGTAAACACATTCATGCATTGCTTCTAGATACTACAGGAAGCATATGTTATTCCTGAGAAGAGATGACCTCAGCAGTGTCTGATGTGAGAAATGCACAGTAGGAAAAAGCTCATGAAGAAGGTGAAGTCAATCTGAAGCTGTGTCAATTTAATTGAGAAAAGAGGATGACAAAGCATGCTGGGCAGTGCATTTTACAGATGTCATTTTGTAGCAATAGTGGGCACTGCTCCAGACCTCTCACCCATGTCCTTTAGGAAGACTAGAAACCTCCTGGAAGTATTTCGCAGGAGGAAAAGAATGTATCTGATGGAATTAGTTCGTTTGTGAACACAGCAAAGTTGGTTTCCTAGTTTAAGGGCTAGGGTGACAGAATCACTGAGCTCAGGAAGGAAACTGAGTGAGTCACAGTGACGGACACAGGGGAATGAGTGACCAGTCAAGCATCCTTTGATGGTGTGTGTAAGAGACGGCCATCGCACATCTGTTCTGTAGCTTCCTATGACAGTAAGGGGGATATGGTGCAGTCCTCTGAATGAAGGCCATGCATTTCAGGTTGGTGGACAAAGAATGGTTATTATATTTTTTCTTTGCATTTTTATATTTCAGATGTGTTAGCATACCATTTAAAAATGATAGCATATTAAAAATGTATGCATTAATGATAGTTAGTTTTGAAAACTTAAATAATAGATAAATATAAAGAGGTTTCCAATGAGTTCTTTCATTTCTGTTATAATACTGGGTGTTTTCAGACCTTTAAAAAGGAGATAAGCATACATTTGCTTTACAAATTGAAGTGGACGTGACCAGATATCTACTTTGTCCAAGGTACCCTCTTTAGAATTTGTTTCCTGTGTCTGTATGTAACTTACACAGAAGATAGGAGAGAAGCCCATGCATGTGAGGTGTGTGGGAGCACTATGCTTTGCAAATATATTTTATGAGGAATGCTCATTAATAGTATATATTTATATCATAATTTTGGACCCTAATGATTGGACTATGTGCTCCTGAAAGTTGGCTAGTCATTGTGATTCTCAATCTTGGTGTTAGGACCACATTATATTCCTAGAAGCTACTAACTTTCAATTATATAAGCTATGCATAAACAAATCTGCATGTTGCAAATTGGAGCTAAGAAGATTCAAGAACTGACAAATACCCCAGAACACACCCTAGCAATTGCCAGTGTGATGATGCCATCACAGGCATCCCCCCATGATGTGCTATAAGGCTATGAGACCTGTAAAGCAAATCACTGTGTGTGATCATCATTATCTTCAGACATCCTCAGACTCGCCTTTGCGTGTCACTCAGATAATGTATTTGCATTTTTAGGAGTTGTAGAGAAATACAAACTATTGCATAATGGAGTAAAATAAGTAAGGAAACTGTGATTTTCTGAGCACCATTCATCAGATGAAAAAACATAGGCTCAGAGAGGTTGACTTAAATTCTACTCATCTATTCACTAAGAATCGCTGTCTACTTCTCTAAGGTCAGAGGCCAACCATATGCTCTTATTAGTGATACCAGCAATGACATAGCAGGAACAATTGTCACTGTTGTAAAATTACCTCTTCCTCCTGCTCTTGATCTGACTCCGATTCCTTGATGCCCCAAGATGCAGTGCAAGATGGAAAAGAAGGCAGAAGAAAAAAAAGACATTTAGAAGAAAAAAGTAAAATACATCCCACCTACAAGCAACAAGCAGGCATGGGGTAAACTCAGACTACTGTCTTAAATAGTTTATAGAAGACAAACAATTAAAGAAGACTAATCAAAGTTTGTACATTCAAAGAGACTGGAGGACCAAATGATGGATATGCTAATTTCTGACCTGAGGTCACCAGTAGTCTCAAAGCTTGATATTTAATGTCTAGTGGAATTGATCTACAGAAAAGATGGTGACACTATACCAGTTACTATGGACACTGACTGAAAATGTCAACCACCATTAGTAAGCTTATGTTAAAAGCATTTCCATACTCAGACACCACACAGGTTTTATTATAATAAAAAGCTACAAAATTCTCAAGCATATCCTAGATATGCAATGTTTGGCATTTTACTCTCTTCATCTTGAGTTACTACATAGAAAGCCATCCCTGAGCACCCCAGCGTTAATAGCTCTCTGTGCTATATCTTGCCTAAAAAAAATAAAATAAAATAGTTGGGTTTTTCTATAGCACGTGGATAGCTCATTGCAACCAGTCAAAGTACAGTCACACTGATATCCGTGGCCCGTGTAACTCTTCTGTGAATAGTAGCTGCCACTCTGCCTCTAGAGATGACAACACCGAAGAGCATTTGTGTGTCATGGGATTGCAATTAGATCACATGTTTTTGGTTGATCTAGCTATGACTACATTCCAATTGTGGAGTACCATGCCATATCATACATGAAAATAGATATTCAATGGCTTTTTTAATTACTAAGAACTGTCAGCAGTAGACATATGCTAGGATCCTTCCTCCAAAAATGAGTATTCAAACCAATACACACTGCAGCAATTATGATGGAGTAAAAGTAATGTAGAGAGTTCTTGGTTCTGTAGACCTAGCATCAAAAGTTTTAGGTATTTCTCTACTTCCCTTCCAGGTCTTAGCACCACTACTCCCCTTCCCAAGTGCAGAACAAACTGAACACTTATAGCAGTCATGCACTGACCTCCCTCTGTGGCTGGCTATATTAAAATGGTGTTCGTTTAAAGAAAAAGAAAGCTTTCAAAATCACATTGCCCACATCATCTAACTGACTGAGTTGCCTTCTTTGACACAATCCTAGTAGTGAAACAATTATGCCATGGGAAAGATCTGGGGAGAAAGTAATACTAGGAGCACTTGGGTTAGGAGTGAACAAAACTTTACAGTGGTGCGTCAAATGAACTCCTATCAAGAGGATATTGTTATACCAATCACGTTAAATTAACTGGGAAGTTAATTTAAAATTCTTCAATTATTAAATCAGGACAGGCTATGAGATGAGCAAGTAATTAGTTCAGGAAAAGATAAAATACAAGGAGTTTGCTCTGAACCGTTCAGTTGACCCCACTCAGAGTGGGTAGTGAGCAGCAGAAGCTAGCACATTGACATCCAGGTGAAAGGCAGTGCATCATGTGATCTCAGGAAGGCTCACAGAAACAAGAATGGGGGCAAGGCCAGTATTTTTTCTTTAAAATTTAGTTCAAAAAGCATTAAAACTTAGACTCATGGTTTTCTCTGCCATATCTAATACCAAGCAATAAAAGCTTCCATCAAAGTGCATTAATTGCCAAAATGATTAGCACATGTACTTGTGTTCTGTGTCTTTTATTTAAAAAAAAAAAAGCTGAACCTCCAGTTCTATGCTGTCTGAGAACACGACAGTGGATGTCACAATACCTTGGCATAAATCGGCAGGGTGATGTTTAAGTTGCAAATAGCTTGATGCACCAGTCCTCTTGTGGATTTGGGTTCCTTCATAAATGAGAGTCGCCCGCAAGGTTCCTGGGTTGTGTCACGTACCTTGGACAAGAAAGACATAAAAGTTTCATCCACATCTGACATCAGTGTGGTTTAGAGGGAAAATAATTCCAACTAGGTAACACTTACAGAGGGACATAAACTCCACAAAGATTCAAAGCTCTTCCCTTTTCTATTCTGCCGACATAATTTATAATAACACTTTGAAAACGTCTTTCTGATGTTTTTGCTTTCTGAAGTATGAATGAAAGAACTGTACGTATTTTAAGGCAGATAACAAGATGGTCTGATATGCACACAACGTAAAATGAAGCCAACAGTCTTGCTAATTTGCATGAGCTGCCTCTGATGAAAATCTCTATTTGTTTGAGGTGAGGACACTAGATCCCTTCAGAACGCACAGCAAATTTCAAATATAAAATAAACACTAACTGTAGTTCCATTTCTATACATTAGGTCTCCAGAATGAATTCACCTTTTAAAAACTGTGGTAAAATATTCTTGCCAGAAAGCTATCCATTCCTACTATTTTTAAGTGCCATGAAGCACAGTCACGAAGTTGTACAATCACCAGTATTTTCCAGGCTTTCTATCCACCCAGACAGAAAGTCTTCCTGGTACACATTTCCTTCCCATTTCCTGTCCCTGATTATCTCCAGGCTAGTTTGTGTTTCCATGGATTTGTAAAATGGAGTCACATAGTATTTTCTTTGTGTTTTATTGACTTAGCACAACATGTTCAAGTTCATTGCATCATCAGAACTTCGTTCAATGTTAACTGTGGTATTTGTAATAGGAAACATCATTTTAACCACTTTAGGTGTATAATTCTGTAGCACTAATACATGTGCTTCATTGTATAACTATCACTGTCCTCCATCTTCATGCATAATTGCTTCCCAAACTAAAAGTCTCCATGTATTAAACAATAATTTCTCTTCCTCCACCCACTTTCTCCTGATAGCCAACCCTTTTACTTTCTATCTTTTAGGTTCCTGAGTAGTCTATGCTAAATGGAGCCATTCATATTGACTTTTCTATAAAGTTGAATCGATGAAAGTATATCAAGTCTATAGCTCTAGAATAATGTTTCATTGTACTATGATATTCTGGGCCTTTCAAGAAATGATTACAAAAAAGTTGTCAGCACTCATTTGGTCTCTACATTAGTTACTTTCACATACACTTTAAAATCTCAGCATGGACATCCGAAAGTAACAGGAGTGAAGAAATAGGAGGGCTGGGAGTTCAATTCACCAGTAGAGTCAACATTGCCTATTAGTAACTAGGTGTGAGACTCTAAGTTTATTCCCATCAACACACTCACACACATACATATACACACTCATACATATACTCTCTCATACGCATATATACACACACACATATATACACTCACATGCACACTCATACATATACCTATATACATTCATACACACACACACACACACACACACACACACACACAAAGAGATGACTTGCCTTCTAATCTAGGAAACAGTAAATAACATTTTACTTAATACATTGATCCTAGTTTGTTCTCGTTCCCATCATAAATGTGTTCTCTCATTAAAACTTATGCTTGAATTTGAACTTCAAAAATTTTAAAAAAACGTGTTTTTGTAAACACTTCTAAATATGTTTTACAATCACTGGAAATATTTGAAAAGCACATATTCTTATTATGAAAGTAACTGAAAACAACCTTTGTATAACCTTTGTACTTAAAGAAATGACTAATTAATTTTGATTTTTATGTATGCATTACCTTAACAAAGAGAGGAAGTCTGTTTTCTTTGAAAGCAAAAAAACTGAATATATGATGTTGGCCACTCTTGGTTAGTGGTACCAGGTTGCCAAAGCAATCAACATAAATAGGTTTTCCTTCTAATACCTAAGAGAAGACAGAAAGCCAACATGGAATAAGATAGCTAGAATCACTTTTATGTCATTTGTACAAGCAAAGTAGTAGGGGTTCTTAGAACCTTTAGTTCTGAAGATACATATACTTGGCAATATTCACACTGCTGATTGACAACAGTCAATCATATGTGACAATGTTCACACAGCTGATTAACATCTGTCACAAATGTGTCAAAACATGCACCAACTTTTCTTCTTGATACCGAGTATCTTCAACGGCATGGTAACATTCAATTTTCTCATTTTTAATGTTGTATCATGATACCCACAAAGATCCATATACATCTATACCTAAATATAAACTTTACATTAGGTAACTTTTGATATCACAATGAGGCAGAACACAGGATGTCAGTATCTAAACATCTATAACAATGGGAAATTAAAAAAATGTAAAAAGTATTTATCTGGACTAACACTTAAACAAAAAGAAGTAATTTAAAAGAAAATCCAGAAAAATAAAACATCTAAGCTGCTATAGTTATAACAAACTCATAGTCATCTACATACTCTGAGTTTGAGTTTATCAGTAACTGTTTTTATTTCAATAAAAATAATTTTTTAAATAAAAATACATTTTACAGGAATTCATCTACATACATAGAGACCATCCATTTATGATCCAAGTTGTCTGAAAAAAATTCAGATTTTGGGCATTGGCCTTCAACTGATAGAAATGTAGACTGGTCTTCCTTTAGTTAAGTAAACCTTTTTCCTATGATAACTGGATTACAAATGACCTGATAGTGAAGCTGCCCAAAACAACATTCCTACCTCCACATCCCTGCTCCTGGCCACCTCAGAGAAGTTTTCTTGTTGTTCAAGGGTTTTATCTACTTTGTCATCTGTCATACAGAAACACCGCAACCTGGCTTCAATGGGGTCATGTGACTTGGCAAACACTACAAATTTGGCCATATACGGTACACAGATAATTTCTCTATACACTTGTGATGCAAAGGCAACGGACTCCTGAATCTGTCGACAGTCTATCAGCCAGAACCTACAAAAGGAAAAAAAACCAGTTACTTAAAGTTTACAGTGTGCAACTTGAAAACAGATCGATTCCTTTGATACAATCAATGCAGTCATCAAATGAAAAGGAAGGACATGGGGGAGGAAAATGATGAGAGAAGGCTGAGGAAAGGGAAACAGGCAGAAATGGCAAAGAAAGCAGCAGGACAGGCAGGAGGTCTGGAGGTGTTAAGAAAGAAATACATGCGGTATGTTTTAAGGTCAACTATGAATATGCTCCATGTACATTATACACTTACAAGAAAAAGTCCTTATGTAATATATGACCATGCATAATAAATACATCCAATAGAAATTATACCCCTCTCAAACCAAAGAAAAACAAAATGAAAAGACTGAATTAAATATTCTAGTTTTGTTGTTCCTCTAAAGGAGGACACTCTTCTTTATCACCAGTCTCTTGACATACATACTGATTGATTTTGAGTTCCTTGGTAATAAAATAAATAACTAAAATAAAAAGATATACAAAAAATAAAATAACTCGTTGGTACTTAAAAGTTCAGTATCAGACACTGTGATGTAGATATTTATTTTCCTTGATTCCTCGTCTATTCATTTAACCTTCTGAAGGTTTCAACATCGTCTCCTCAACATCTTCAAGGGACTCATTAGTCACTGAGACTAAGTCAAACCAACCAGAAATTTGAAAGTGTTTACCTAAAGAACATGTGAATGGGAACTAATATAAATTTCAATTATGGCATGTAAAAGAATAACCAGAAGATCCCTCCAACCCCTTAAAGATGAGTAACATGCAAATGTGTTAGGATCTATAACACACTAACTCTTTAGCCACTAAGCAAGATACCCTGAACTGCGTGGTTTGGTATTCTATTGAAAGAGTAACTCTCCGTGCTGTTTTGTTGATAACAGGAAATTTCTCATTCCTTGGGAACTGGAAACATCAGCTGTGGCTGCTAAAGCTAACATCAGAACACTTATTTACCATAGATTCTAATCTGACTGGCAGGACTTGGCTACAGGACTATTACTATTCATGTCAAAGTAAATGTAGACCTTATTTAAAATTAAATTTAATTAAAATTAAATCCCTTTGAAAGAGTTAAGAAACAATGTCAAACAACAGAAAGAAAGGATGATTTTGAGAAGGAAGAAAGTAATAGAGAGAATGGGCTTTTCCGTGCTGCACACACATACCTGGCGGACACGTTGGTTGTAAAGGAAACACACTCATTGACAAATGTTAGAGGCGTGGTTCCTGTGATGTCTTCCCACTGGGCAGGCGTAGTTCCACCTGGAAGAGCACAATTGTGGAGGATAATTGGGCAAGATTAGAGACACCTGATTGTAAATAAAGTCTGTGTGCTTCTGACTGTTCATCTGTGTAACCCCTTCATTCCACAAAAGGACACAACACAGGTTAGAGTAAAGCATTGGCTTAGTGTGTGCACAGCCCTGTGTTCAATCCTCAGTACAAAACCAAATCAAACCGAAACTAAACAACTTTTGGGACTGAAGAAATGTAGCTCAAGGGTAAACTACTTGCCTAACTTAGCAAATAACATGCCCTAGGTTTTAGTGCCACATCACATATGTACATACATACATACATACATACATATGTTAATTAGTTAGTTAATGAATGAAATTAAAATGAGAGTACAAACTCTCATAAATCAACTATCAAAAATCATAAATCAAAACTATATATTAAGAAATGACACTTAAAAAAAAGCAGACACCAACTCAAGATAAATAATTTTAGGAAAATTATTTGAATATCTATGTACTAGGTATTCTGTCCTTGTCCTCCTATAGAGCCTTCTGTGAGGCCTGGTCCACAGGAGGAAATTCGGGTATAGTACCCTAAACATGGTCAAAATTGATGGCTAGGGAAAATGATTGTGGTTTTGCTAAGCGATCATATCGTCAAGCTGCCTTGTAAATATTTCTGTTTATATCTGTAGATGTGAGCCTTGGTCAGAGAAGCTCCTTATAAATGTAGGTAGTGGTTAATGCAGAGATGCATAACGGCTCAAGCGCTGAGAATAAGCAATTGTTCTGTTGCTCCCACCGACAGTAGGTGGGATGTCTATCATCCTGCCCCACCTTGGGGCTCAGGGAACATGGTGGAAGAGCGAGGAAACAAAGTAAGAGCGGAGGATGAGGAGGAGCGTGGTGAGATGCTGCAGCCGCACATGGGCTGTCGGATGGTCAGTTCTCAGGACTGAGTTGCCTGTACAAGATCACCCCAGGAAAATTCCTGCATAGACAGGGAGGAGCCGGTGGATGGCTTCATACAACATATATATGGGCAGCACTAATAGCTCAGTGGGTTAAAAAGTAAAACTAAAACCATTTACTTTAAAAATGTCTCCATGTATAAATGTATAATAGTTTGATATAGAAACATTGTTTGGTGAATAACTCATTTTTTTTCACCTTATGTTCACTTATCTAATTAAAAAAATGCTTTTCCTAAATTGATATATTTAACCCCACAGCTTTTTGATACAGGGCCTTTTCATATTGTGTAGACAGCTCTTAAACACACAATCCTTCTGCTTCAGCCTTCAAAATACTGAGATTACAGACATTCACCTATATTCTCAACTTCCACAGCTACCTATGGTAAAAGTAACTCAGCTTTTTACTATCATTAAGTATCTTCTTCTAGAATTTTCTACTATACAGTCATATATGACTTACCTGTTATACTGCACAGTAATCTTAAAGTTGGTGCGTCTCCTCCAAAACCATTTAGCATGACATCACTTGAAGCTTTGGGGACAGGAATAGTCATAGTAATCGGCTTGTGGAATTTTCTTCTCCTGGGTTCCAAAGTGACTATTGGGCTGAAGGTTGCTTTGTTGCCTAGGATCTTCTTCACCAACTCACTGTGCATAGGTTGAGCCTTTCAAGGTAGAAAAAAAACATTAGCTATATATAGTACTACAGTTTATGTCAAATATCTATCATATCCAGAAAAATATTGTTCTTTATCTCACAAATGAGTTTGGTAGATTTAAATGTGGCAGCTATAAGATTAGTACTATTAAACACACACATACACACACACATCTATATATGTATATATGTATATATGTATATATATATATGTATATATGTATATATATATGTATATATGTATAAATTTATTTATCTGTCTATTGTGTGTTAGATGTGTATGTGTGCATGCTACGGTATACATATGCAGGTCAGAAGACAACCTGAGGAAGTTCCCATCTTCCATCATAAGGGTTTCTGGAATTGAACTTAGGAACAAGCTCCTGCACCAGCTTAGGTATCTCATCTGTTATCCTTTGTTCACTCAGGAAAACTTTATTTAGGTGACATTTCAACTCTCATTTGAAAAGCAAATTGTAACAATGGTAATAAACCCCCAAAGGATCATCGTATCCTACACGGACATACCTGTAGGCCTACACGGATGCGCTTGGTGAGTGCCCCCTCTGGGAAGACAGCTTGCACCTGTGACACCACAGTGCTGCTCAGCACTCCACCCTCTGGGCCAATTAGGTTGCTGTCCTGTTTGATGCGAGATACCACCGCAAAGTACTGTGGGAAGTCACGAGTGATGATGCGGCAGATCCGTTTCTTTTCCAGGTCTTCTGGACTATCCAGCACTGAGACAAGAAATGATCCGTCTTCATAGAGCAAGTGACTCCTGAGAACATTCTAGCGACTCACAGGCACAGTTAATAGTGAACAGGGAAAGCAGCAAAGCCCCCGTTTAGTTAAAGTTAAAACACAAGGTTATCCTGACGCCAAATAGATAAATATTGGAGGTAGTTTATCAGCTGACAGCGGTCTGCAAGTACACTGTGGGAAACTCAGGCCTTTCTAGAACACTTAAAAGAAGTGCACTTTGGGCCAGAAGCATCCACGCAGTGCTGTCTCTGTGAGGGTGTTTGAAGGCAAACCTGCAGTGGGAATGAACATGTGCTACCCTTGGTCCGTGTGATGGAGAGGAAGCTGCATTTGAACTCCTTTCCTTTACAAACTTCAGTGTTAGCTCAAAGACCAGCTATTGGGGCTTCAAGAAATTATATGGTCCTTTGGGTTCTGGAGGAGTAGTCCAATAATAAACTCTGCAGTGAATGGGTAAGGTTTCTCTTTATCTATTCTGTCCTATGGCATGTTTTGTACCTTGGCTCAACATCAGGGTTTCACTATTCCTCTGATGCTAATGACTTACCAAATACATTACCCAATGACTTACCAAATACATTACCTAAGAGCAGAGGGTGGGACAATAGATTCTATAAATTGCTTTAGTGTACATATTTAGGGCAATACAGAAAATTTGATTTGAAATAGAGAAAAATCTGTACTAAATGTATCAGTAAATTTTAAGAACTATAGAAAGTTGCTTAGTCTCAGAATTTTTTTTTTTTTTTTTTTTTACAATTCACTATAAAGTAGTAACTCTTCACTGACTGCTTGGCCTGACTAGATATTAAATAGTGGCTGACCTAGGGTCTGATCATAAATATGGGAGAATGGCACATTGGCCAATACTATAGCAGAAACCTATAATTCCACATGTTAATATATCAAACTGATTCTTGGCTTTAAAGTGAATTTCTTCTACTTGTCAATTATTATGAGTGGGTCTTCATCCAAGGGCAAGACGCTAACACATGGTGACATCAATGAAAAAAATCTCCAAAAAGCAAATAAAGGGGTTTCAAGAAGTGGAAGGAGATGAGTGTTGTCACTTTCACTGATGAGAACTCTGATCTTTTCACCCTGCTTTGAAGAAATTGACCTACACACTAGACAGTGTACTTTCTATCATCTAAGCCTGGCCTTTATTCTTACTCAACCTCAACAGGGTCAGAAAGAGATAAGAAAGGAGCTGTGGACAGGCTGCTTTTCACAGATAAACTTGACTTATGGCTGTGCTTTGTTGTCATGTGTCTATCCCTGAACAAACATGGCACGCTCCTGACAATGAGTAAGGGGCTTGTTCTGTTTTTGTAGTTACTTGAAGTGGCATGCACCATGCATTAGGGCTAGGACCTCTCCTCTCTTCAACTTATGGGGCCTGAGGATGAGGCCCCCTCCCTCCAGTCAGACAGGTATTTCAATTAGTGCCCAGATGGCTTGAAGATATTTGGGGATGACAGAGATCAAAGTTCTCATTTAAAAACAAAGTTTCACAAGAAGATAGGTATATAATATGTCTGCATGCAATCCAGTCTTCCTGTAAGTCTCCATATGAATGACTAAATAAACTTAATCTTAATCCAGTCTCTTTGATAATAGAAAGCTTAAAAAAGAAATGAAATTATTGTATGAAGATATTAGTTATAGTTAAAGTTTCTCAACAGAATACCTTAGTACTTTTTAAAAGTTAGTTTCTTAAACATCTAGTTTGTTAAACTTGGTATTGAAAATATCACAATGAGGCTCCAGTGAGTCACTCAACCAATAACTCACTTGTACCCAACATCAATTATACTCAGGATCTAGAACACACATCATACCCAGTACTGATTTGTTCAGTTTCTTCAGCCACAAATTGAAATATTTGTTTGGTTGGAGGAAGAGTCTCACTCTCAAAACCCACAAGTTGCATAGAGAAGAAATGCTAACCCTAATACTAGGTTTATGCCATTTCAAGCAACCACAAACCTGAACAAGGCCGTCACCTCTCTGCCAAGAGCATACCAAGTTCTTGCCCATTCATTATGAAACAACATCTACTCTACCATTAATTTTAGATCTGACCAAGTTTTCATCAAAAGACAAAAGCATGCTGAGTATACTTGTTAAAATGAGACATTTAAGACCTTGAAAGGCTTTATTTTCCTGAATTTAACATGAACACAGTTAAGAAAATGGATTAAATTGTCTATTAAAATTTGCTGCAATTGGATCACAGCAAGCAACGTGCTGGAGTAAAACACCTCGAGAGGCACACATGTGCACACAAGTACACAGACAGCTAGATGATCTTAAAGCAGTGTGTAATCGTCATGCCTCCACCTTAGATTTCTTTGAGACCCCTCAACCCCGAAGGTACCTTCATCCATGCCATTAAGGATTTCGTTCAGTTCATCCTCAGTGTATTCACAGAAGTGCTCTTTCCAGCTGTCTCCGTTTTCACTGCGCAGGACTACCAGCTCCCTCTCTTTTCCTCGAAGAGCAGCGAAGTGAGGGATCTCCACAATCACAGGCCTGACATAGCAATGCAGAACACTCAGTGGAGACAGGATAACCAACCTCAAGACGAGCAAGTCAACACAGTCTGTTGCAAAGTGACCTGGAATTCTGCTCATTCTAGGGGGCAGGGACACAGTGGACCATCCTCCAGAGCCCAATGACTAACGGATGGTGGCACAGCGACACTCCGCATCAGGGGCATTGATCTTCAAGTACATGCTTCTACTTTAAGCCAGATGATATTTCCCTGTGGGTGCATGTGGCATTCTGGAACGTCTCCTTTGATAAATGTAGGTATAGCACATTTAACCAAAAGAAATGTACATGCATGTCTATGATGTATGTCAATCTCCTAAAAACATGTTCTACAGGTGCGAAATGACGACATGAGTTAAGAAAGACAATGGCTCATACATTGCATAATTCAATGTGTTATAAATGAGATGTCAGAAAGGTAACCTACTTGTGCTAATGAGCCATGCACTTGTGGCTTTTGCTCATACTGTCTTCATTCAAGAAAACAATAGGCATGTGCACACCCTGTGGCTCTAATGAGCCACTCAGTCAATAGCCCAATAGTGTCCAATGCCTATTACATTTGGGATCCAGAACATGCACTGTCTTATGATTTTTTTTAGGTCACATTCAACATAGACAGAGGCCTTCCATTCTTGACTCCAGGTTGCTTTGAGACAGATTCCAAACTCATCATAACGACATCATAACTAGCACAGAGTACAACTAGGCAAATCTCATGCTTGAACGAAAATGAAGGTCACAGCACTTTAAGGGAGAAGATATAAAAACGTCACTCAAAAAATAAAAGTCACATACCACAAGGGTCAGAAATGGTCCACTAGAGATAGGTTATACAGAGTTTAAATCATAGAGAGGGACATGTCATGGGCACAATGACGAAAAGAGAAATCATATCGCAGAAGAAGGAGAAGAATGGGGGCCAGCAGCCATCAATTTGTTTTAAGTCGCTCCTACCCAAGGAATTTGGTTCCAGGAGGCCCCAGCTGAAGGATGCGGCTGACCAAACTTTCTCCCTCATTAAGTGGGGGAGGAGCCGTTGGCAGGTGAAGTTTACTGAGTACATCCAAAGCAGCAATGAAAGAAAGAACAGAAGTGAGCTTCAGGTACCGTGTCCACAGAACCCCAGCGTCACAGGGTGAAGTTTGGTTTCACACTGCGTTTGGTTCTGCCCCCTCCATTGGTCACAAAGAGCAAGGGACCTGAGACCCAGAGTGTACAATGGAGGTGCTTCCGTGCCGGGGGAGCACATGGCTGTCAAGTCTGCTCCTATTCAGGTTCACTGCCAGGGCACTAGCCAAAAACGGAGGGGAAAAAATTGTTCTTCGGGAAACTCAAAACTGTTGGGAATACGATAAAAACTCTGCACAGCCGCGAGACGTTTTCATGGATATTCCTCAACAGATTTGAAGAGTGTCAAAAAGCCTACAACTACTTGAGCAGGAAGGAGTTAGGCTCTGAACTGAACATCAAAAGACTCCAACCATTGTGACATTTTCTGATGCAACCCAGAACTTCACAGGCTCCTCCCAAAGCTCTGCCTGATAAGAGCTATGATAGGTGGGTTCTACAAGGGGGGAACATCCCCTTTCAGGTGTGAATGTAATTTGGAGCAACCTGTTAACAATTTGCCCCAAATTACAGGCTTTAGAGCATTTCCAGAGTTCTAAAGCAGGAAACTCTCCCCAGCATGACATTGACAACAATCAGAATGCATCCTAATTCCTAAGAAATTTCTCTCAGCCTTAAGCACCAAGACTTAAATACAATTAATTTGTTTCAAGATGATTTGAAACGTGTCCCCCTCCAGAGCTTCATTCTTTTGTCACCATTTGGTGATACCTTTTTACCTCTTGACACACTGAGGTGTCACCTTGTATGACAGCAGCCTTACAGATAGACAGAAGAAAGAAGAAATGACAACTTCTGCTCAAAATTGCCAAAATGAGCATGGTAAAAGTTAGATCTTACATTTTCATTTTACACTGTGACTTAATAGCTCAAGGTAGCAATTTTGATAATGGGAAAAAGTAATTTAGACTGAATTCTAGGTATTCCATGAGGGCAATGCCTATTGTGTTGAGTTGAAGGCTGCTGTCCAACGAGATGGTGGCAATTGGATTCATAACCAAGCAATGCATTAAATTTATGCTTCAAACAAAGCACATTCATTTCTTTATACTTCGCCTCTTAGCTGCAGACAAAAAGCAGTAATACCTACCAATGCCTAAAACACATAGTTATCCCACTGGGAATCTGGCAGACATTCCACATCCAAGAAAAGCACCAGCAATGTGCATGTTTAACTCACTGACGCCTGACCAGGGGAGGCGTGGAAGTGAAGTCAAGGACCAAGGCACAGTTTCCAATTTAAAAGAAAAAAAATGTCACAGGAGCCAATCTTTTTTTCAAAATGGTTTGACATACCTTTGGTGTTTTATCCCATTGATCTTGGGTAGAGGGCACAAGCCCATCGGAGACTAAGTAGGAGGTTTATGGGAAACCCTTACCCAAGGAACTGAGCTCCAGAAGGTCCCACTTCAATCAGGCGGCTGGCCAGGCCCTCTCCTTCCACCATGGGAGGCATTGTTGCCAGTCTGTGGCGTTTCACGAGGCGGCAGGTGACTCGAGTTGGGGCTGTGCATTTCCGAGGTGGGATGATGATCCTCAGTCCGTTGTGTCTGCATCCTCGCATGGCACCACCACGGGCATCCACCATAAAACTGACTAGGAAACTGAAAATTGAAATAGAAAATTAGACATTCTTCAAAGCAATACTAGAGATAAAGACACTCTGGGAGGTTAGCTTTCTCTAGACTGTTCATTTTCTCAGAACAATTCTTTTAAATGTAAATGCCACGAGGAAAAGTACTTCTTAAAGTTTATACTAATATCCATATTTCTATTTTGTTTTAATTTGTGTATAGTCTAATGAAGAATAATTCCAATTTTTGTTGGCAACTAACTAGAAGGGAACTGGACAGAACACAGGTAAGCCTTCTGTCTTTTTACCTGCCCAAAGTAATCCACGTGTTCAAATAAGAAAGACCAAATTGTATATGTTTTAAGTGAATTCAACTAAACATTTCAACATCACATCTGTCTAGCTCATTTTAGTAATCTCATGACTAAAAAGAACAATCTTAAAGGCCTTATGGCAAGGTCAAATCCATACTGCCACGGTGTCTTACCCCCCAAATCATCTTTCCCAGGATGCAGATTTTTAACTGGTTACAAGAAGGAAAAGAAAAAACTGTTTTGAACAGAACCAACTTATTTTCTGGTTAAAACTACATTTGCACTTTTAAGAGGTCTCTGTGCTGAACCATTCTAACTGAAACAGAGGGTGAATGGCTCAAACAAACAGAGCCCCCATAGCTCTGTATCTACAGGATAAGTCCAGCATGGGCAGCCTGAGCTCATGCTGATGAAAGTACTGGTGCACCAGGATTTCCCTCAAATAATAATGAACTGGAGTTGAGACTCATTTAAGTTTGCAAACACAACTCTGTGACTTCTGCTTCCTTTAGTGCTCTTTGATCATGGCAAAAAGAATGATAATCTCAGGTGGCTTAGGCTCAGGCTGTTGAATGAGGAACTAAACCCTAAGTTTCTTTGTGGGGTGGTCACAAATCTTGGAGCAGCTTAGCTAGAATGCTTGTTATTTCGTTAGTCATGACACTCACCAAGGCCTCTTGGGCAGGCACCTCCTACAGGAGCAAAAAAATTAAACAGCACAATAATCTAGTTGTCGTGTACATGTACTCAAGGACATGTATGAACACTATGTAGACTCGTCCACAATCACTTCAGCTCAGTGTTCTCCCACATCCAATGCGTTGGAGAAGTTTACACAAGAACAACAAGGTGAAAGCAACATATAGGTGTTTCATAGATCTACTGAGATACTGAGAACCGCACCAAGCCGGATCAACACACCTAGATATTGCTTCCACGGCAACACTGAAAACATTTGAAAGGTATTCCATCAAAGTAAGTGGTGGGATAGAAATGCAATACATTGATGTTATTTTTAGGACAGTAAGATATCATAGCATCCTCTTTGCAGCAGAACACAGAATGCATTAGACACGCCATTGAACAGAAAACCTGTTGCCAGTAGGAGAAATGAGTGCGGGGAAGCCCAGAGTACCCTCTGAAGCACGGCATGCAGCATGAAACCACAGGAGCCACAGATCTCCCGCATGCAGGAGCCAGCCTAGGCCTACCAGTCTCCCCTGGCAGCCAAGCTTTCAGGAGGAGCAATAGCTGCTATGCACAGCAACAGTTCACAGAACATGAACTGTTGATAGTCTGGATATTATCAAAACACAATGAGAGACAGGTTGCAGCTTTTCTTACTATTAGTCTTTAATGTGAATTCTTAAATATTTTCTTTCTGGCTTTTAAATATACACATTTGCTCAAAAAAAGAAAAGAGCTGGAAGTATTTCCAGGTGAGCATGCAGATTTTCTTTTATTATTTTTAAATGAGTACATTTACACTGATTTTCATTTAAAGGCTGGATGCCTTAAAATGCTGCAGTTTCAACTAGCAGAGTACCTAACCTCACTGCAATAATTCTGACTCATTGATAATTAACATTAATATTTCCTCTAATTTTCCTCCCTCCTCTTTTTTTTTTTTTTTTTTTTGCAATAGGGTTTCAGGTAGCACAGGCTAGCTTGAACCTTTCTATATTTGTGAGCTTAACCTTGTACTCCTGAACTCCTCCCTTTACTTCCAAAGTTTTATGATTACAAATGTATCATCACACCTAGTGAATTTTTCAAATCTTGATTACTCTGAGCAAGGAATAGAGGTGCTGAAACTAGAAGGAATTATTATTACATGTCATAAACCCTCATAGCATTTATGTGTTTTGAAGGAAGTTACAAAGTTTGTGCACTCATGGGCCAGGCCCTTTTATTTCCATGGTATTCTTTCAGGGATGGCCTCTGGTCTGTAGGATATCAATTCTTTCCCCAAAAGAACATGTAGACTACTTTGGTGGTCTGTCTTCAAGACAGTGAATCTGCAGCCATGCCCCTGACATATTCTATTAGTGTCCCTGGGGTAGTGTCACAGAAGCCCTTTTTCTGTTTTACTTCCTCTCTGATTTCTGCTTCCATAATCCCTTTGTGTGATCTCCTCTAAATGTCAGGAGCTGTGCCAGGAACTTCACACTCAAAGCCAAGATGTCACTCTCTGATTTCATCCTTGCTTGGACCTGCTTCCTAATTTCCTTGGTCAATAAAATATGATCGGTCAGTTCATCAAGGTATCATCTAAAGGCTGCAACAACAGGGAACACGATTTCAGCCCCCTAGTACTCAGGACAGGATGGCTACAGCACACAGTAGGGAGTCGAGAATAATTTTTGAATAGATGAATGAATGTAAGAACGAAGAAGCAGGTTATGACAGACTGTGTGTCCTTACATGGGACGGAGACAGTAAGGCTTTATAAACGGTGAGGTAAGTGAATTCTTTGGTGTCTGGCCTGTTATGACAATCGGGATTCACTCAAATCTCTACATTTTCAGATGCAGCATAGCAACTGGAAAGCACTATATCTAATTTTAAAGACTCTACCATATAAATTTCTGCTGAACTGAAAGATCTGATGTATTTCCTGGGTAGAAGATTGGTAGAAAATGGGAGACTGTGAAAGCTAATAGTTTGAACCTCATAAGATAATTTTTAAAAACTGATTACAAGATTATATGAAGGTACACTGAACTGGGAGAAATTGAAATAACAGAACTTAAGGACTGATGTAGCACATAGATACACCTCCTGGGAATCATGCCTGTGTCATTAGTGATCCCAGAAACAGTCCTAAGCAAATGCAAAGCAAAATTGGTAGAATCAAGTGTGCAATGTGCAAACTTGAGGGGAAAACAGCAGACTTCTGAAGAGCGTAAGCATGCATATTTTACCAAGTAAGAGAAGAAGTGGCATGGACTACCAGACAATCACAAACTCTAGTGGAGATATTTTCCTTTGTAATTGAGAGGAAAGAGAGAACAAAAAGCAAAATAGAAAGATGCCAAGAAGCAGAGAGGGCTGGAAGACATGACCACTAACTGTCAAGGAACAGAGGGTACTAAAGGTTAGCCCTGCTGTAAAATGTTCTGGCCAAATTGGACTCATAATGTAATTATCAAATGACTAACTAAGACAGAACTTAACTGTGTACTCTCAGGGCCTCTCCTTCATGTAGGAAGAGGAGGAGAAACAGAGACTGCACTTCATATTCAGATGCCATGGATGTTTACTGGTAAAGCTAGCAAGATAAGCCCTCAATCCCAACAGTTTCTAGCACAAAACTGGGTAAGCATTTGAAGATTTTCATCAAAAAAAAATGGAAGAATACCAAAAGGCGCCACTACTTGCATGGCTAAAGGAATTAGGAGCCAGTTATTCTGCAGTGTGTGGAGCTGAGGCTAACACTAAAGGAACTTTTCTACTGTAAAGACTGCGGGGTAAGGAGGGAGGATGAAAGGAGTGACTCAAGAGATAGGTCATCTCACCTGCTGGAGTGAACGGAATGAGTATGACTCTGACATTTGGGGGACATTAGAAATGAGACAATATGATCCTTGCAAATATTTACTGATGAAAGGAACTGGAGGAAACCTAACAAGGCAGCTATGTGTAAAGGAGATGGGATGTGGACTGAAAACTCAGCTCTATAGTCTGGAGTGTGACACGGAAGCCTCCTGGTCCCTGGGAGCTGACCCTATCACCACCTACAGCTACAGGGAGAAGTAAATCATGTGTGGGTAAAGAATACAGATTCAATAAATGGCCACCCCCGTTATCTTCTTCTTTTCTGCTTTTTTTATCTTTTAAATGTCATGGTCATTAAAATATATGTCATACATCACCTAAAACATTGGGGAAAAACTTATTAAGCACATTCAAGGTACTCATATGTGTACTGAGGAGTTTAATGTTCTCAATACAATGTTGGCTACATTCTAAAATCAGGAGGATTCTGTTACTGCAGCACAGGCTTCTGTGGTTCCATGTTCTTTCCAGACCCAGACTTATCTCTGTTTTGAGCTATTTTTGTAATCACAGTCAAGTAACTTGGCAACTTTGTTAACACTTGTTTTCTTACGCATGAATTAGGAGAGGTGACTTCATCTCTGAACTTCCTGCCTAATGCTACAAATTTGATGCAGTTAATGGCTGGCTAGATCAGACAATCTACTTAAATGTTTGATTTTCTGGAAGATTTCCTAATTGGAAAGCAAACTGTTATGACCTCCAGTCAAGATAGTTTTTGACCTGTGGTTAAATAAGATACTTTGCTGGAAATGTGTAGATGTATTTCATTAGACATTGTCTTATGACTACACAGGGAAAAAATAGCAAGGGGACGTTGGCTCTGATGCTTCTGACTTTTCAAATGACAGCAGTCATGCAAAGTGGAAACTCTGAAGTTTTCTAAATTGTGAGATACAACGTTGTCACAATTTAAAAAGGAATAAAGCAAATGCAATTCACTGTCATTAGACAGAGGACTTGCCGATAAATATGCGATTTCATTAGCTAAACCGGTACATGCTTCAGAGGAGGCAGCAGAAAACAAGGATTCGAACTTTTAAGGACTGCACTGTCCACCCCCCAAAGTTACTGATACTTCAAATTTCCATTTAACTCATCTAGGACCATGGGCTGGGAACAGGGAGGAGACTGCAGCATTCGGAGTTAGTCACTGGGT